AAGCAATTTGATTGGTTGATGCTTTAGGACACAGTAACTTTAGTTCTAATTGAGTGAGGGTGACCAAACTTGGTGTAAGTTTCATTATGTCAATACCTTGACTAAGTATCATAATGAACATTTCTGCTCCGCGTTAAGAAATTTGATTGGTCGAGACTTTGGAACACAATAACTCTCCTAAATGAGCAATAATGTTCACACTTGTTGTTGCTGTTTACTAGGAGAATGCCTTGACGGAGTTCGCAGAACTCATTTTAAATTTTAAGCAATTGGATTAGTTTATGCTTTGGGACACAATAACTTTATCACATCAATACCTTGACTAAATTAAGTGAAAGGATGTTCTGTTTAGGCTAAGGAGCGATAAGCAATTTGATTGGTCAAGACTTTGGAACACAACAACTCTGCTTTTAATTGAGGTTGATGTTTGTTAGGTGACTGTCTTGACTGAGTTCAATGATTAACATTTACCGCTAAAGATAAGCAATTTCTCTGACTGATAAAGATGATGAAAATTAGTGTATAGTTGGTAATCAGTTTAATTGCTCGATACTTTGGAAAAGAAAAGCGTGCAATTAATTAATCTGTGTCATCTATTTATTCCGGGATTTCGACGAGGGGACATTCTGCAATTTTACAGTTGTCGTTGCATTCATATTTAAGGTATGTATTATTTTTCACAACTCTAAAGTTCAATTGTAATATTTGCATAGCCCTCTACGGATATGAAGTGGTTACCTTTCGATTCCCGCAACTCTGCGGCCTCCTTCCGGGGTAATCCAATTATGTTACAAAATATTTAGTTGGCATTCATGAAAACTTGATTTATGAGCACATCTGTGTCATACTTTTGGTTTTGACCCCTCTGAACTTGTACCGTTGATTACAGATTAAACATCCACAAGTGTACAAAAGTGTTGTTATTGATGTGTTCCCATTTGAATATTGTTCACAATAAGAAGCAAAATAAATAAGATATGTTTAATGGATCATTTTGTTACACGAAAAACTAAGTATATTTTTTTTTAGATCTTCTTCAATATCAAGACTAAGGTTGAATTGTGCCTACGGAAACGTAAAGAAATAAGCCACAAAATGCATGAATACGTCCACATGAAAGCTATAAAACTAAACATAACAAAGGTGAAATTTGTGCTTGATGAACGGAATACAGCAAAGACAATTGCGCAATGCTTCAAACCAACATTAACAAGACGAAATAAGACGGACAAGGATGAAGATAGATACGTAACCCTGTTTGTTTGTCCAAATTAAATGCTTCACACCATAAAATTCAAAATAATGCATAATCATTGTAGTCGGTTCATATTGCCCTTTGAAAGACTATGCCAAGTGCCGAGTCTATATTTTAAAGTAAATTTATCGGATCTTCATCAACTTCGATAGGGTTTATGATGTTGGCAGACAAAAAATCAAAAGAATCTTTAAATAATAATAGCCTATATTCATTACATAGCAAAAAGCATTTCACTCTGCAATTATTGTGTTCTTTAAATTCCTCGCTTTGCCTTTGAATTCCATTACTTGTGTTGACATCAAATAAAAGACGGCGTTTCCGGGATGGAGTTTTAAGGCACATCAGCTTCAAGAGGGCCGTATTGCGCCAAACATGGTTAATAGCAGCAGACAAACTTAACATAATCACAAAATGTATTTAGGTAATTAAATTCAAACCTTCAAAAGTTAAAATTTTAAAAAAATCAAATGAATGGAAACTTGCACTCTCCTCTGGCCATTGCTGGATTGACTTCTGATACTTGAGCTTTTGAGGGAGTGTGTCTATTCATCCCGTTCAATCAAATCTTATCAAATCTATTCGAAGCACATCAACTTGACAGCCCTTCGTTTAATCTTCGGTCTTCCTTAAAATTTTGGGCAGTGATTTAAGCTATTAAAAACAGTGAAAGAATTGTTCATCTCCAAACAGTATTGTTTACTTTGTGCCCTTTTTGATTTTCTGGTTTGTCAAGCAATTGGGTTTTCTGCAATATGCTGCTATGAAATAGTTAATTTAGCGTAATAAAATCTTGTGTCGTGTAAACATATTTGGGGCCCTGGTTAAAGCCTGATGATACTTCTAGCAGTTAGCTATTGGTTGTTAATCGGACTATTGACCAGTCATTATTTGCTTCCATTACAGCAGTGTTAAGTGTGACTAGGTCTAATCAAACGATACTGCGAGGAGTACGTCAAAATTTCGAGTATATGTAGATAATTGTCTACTTGTAAAACTGAAACCGCCTGTTGTGTGTTATTATTTCGTGGTGGGTTCGTTTTGCGATATCACGGCATATTGCCTAACATTAAAGGCTTATTGGCAAACCGAACCCACCGGTTAATCTACATGTGTTGTCCTTTGCCGAACATTCATTGTGTTCAATTAACGGAAAGAGGGAAATAAAATTTAATGCATTTTTTTTTTTCTTTTTCATATAAAACATGGGAATCACGTGGCTAAGTGGGTAAGACGCTGACTCGCTAGCCTGGAGGTCGGGTGTTCGATCCCTGCATTGGCCGAGAAAGTTCATCCAGATTTTCCGGCGTGGTTTCCCCTTGTCAGTGATGCAGGACGGAGGGCCTGACAAGGACAGCTGTCTAGTCGTTCAGATGGTACGAAAAACCGAGGTCCTCTGTACATATTGGCGTGCACGTAAAAGATCCCTTGGCAGTTGGAATTCGATATAAGAGTAGGCCGTAGCGCCGCTGCCCGGGAAAAATTTCCCTCATAGCACACTACGGCGTATGCCCGACTTCATTAGCCCAGTTTAGGAACAGAACAGTAGGACTTTAAACTCCATTTCATTTCATTTCATTTCAAATAAAACCCGTACCTTCAAGGCTTATTGGCAAACCGAACCCACCGGTTAATCTACATGTGTTGTCCTTTGCCGGACATTCATTGTGTGCAATTTACGGAAAGAGGGGAATAAAATTAAGGCATTTTTTTCTTTTTCAAATAAAACCCGTGCCTTGGGAATTTCTAGCCCGTCTTGACAGTAGAGGCATGGGGGGGGGGGGCGCGGATGGCTGAATGGTCAGCGTGCGCGCGCTGTATGATAAAGTCTGTCATTAAGTCGACTGGCGTGGTTTCGAATCCCCGGTTGCACGTGACAAGGAGTAGGGTTGCCTGTCCAACCTCGTGGGTATTCTCCGGGTCCTCAGGTTTCCTCCCACTGCTAAAGACCCCTACGCGCAAGCAAATTATTGAAATAAAATTAAAACAATGTGTTAGTACCGAAATGACCTAGTTTGTGTCGAGTGGACTTAAACCCCATTTCTCTCTCTCTCCCTTGCGGGTTTTCTCCTTGCCAAAAACCGTCTCCGGTACCATAACAACTTCGGGAGATTTGTGTTAGGACCTGATTATATAATTCTGACTTGGGTTACGTTGAATAACCCTAAAACTGTAATGAAATGAAATGGTGTTTACCATCCTACTGTTCTGCTCCTAAACTGGGCTAATGAAGACGGGCATACGCCATCAGTGTGCTATAGGCGATATTTTGCCCGGGCAGCAGCGCTACGGCCTACTCTTATATCGAATCCCAAGGGATCTTTTATGTGCACGCAAATGTGTACACGGGACCTCGGTTTTTCGTCCCATCCGAACGACTAGACAGCTGTCCTTGTCGGGCCCTCCGTCCTGGATCACTGACAAAGAGAAACCACGCCGGAAAATCTGAATGAACTTTCTCGGCCAATGCAGGGATCGAACACCCGACCTCCAGACTAGCGAGCTATTAATAACTTGTCTCACTAGATCGAGCAATCCATGGTGATAAAAAAAGGAAGGATGGGAGTAACGGGTAGGTTCTTATAACTGCCAATCCTTTAAATGCCACGGGGGTAAACATCCAAATGCAGACCACCAAACTACCATAGTTCCATACGATAAAGTTGTCTAATCAGCAAACAATTATTAACATCAACATGGTTATATAGTGTAACAACTTTAGACATAGTGGTTGTATATCTGAGATATGTGTGATTTCTGAAATATGCAAATATAACCTTTTCTTAATAGAATTAAACCAACTGGTATTAAACTGACGTGCAACAAGTATTCAATCATCACGTGGAAATCTTGACAAGAGTTTGTGTACAATTTTACATGTATGAAACAAACATATTCATAGTTATAGCTGCATATATGGATTTAACATTTGCAGGAATATAATAAACTTAAACTATCCTTACTAATACATTTTGTACTCCCAAATTCTATATAATCATATTAAACGTAATTCACCTGACCACCGTCAGACTTTACATTCTTAATAGTCCGGCAGCAGGTCGTCAAACGTGAAAATATAGTCCACCTAATGTTTTTTGATGGATTATATATCTTCAGTATGTGTAGATTTAAATATTCAAGATGGCCGCCATGAGGCATTTTCGGGTTATTTAGTCGGGTAAAATATGTGACAGATTCTCTCGGGTTTTGGTTTGAAGATGTTTTCTATCAGAATTCGACACGCTGAATCCAATGAGCTTGGGTATTCCTCCTAAAGTGATGGCTAATGCCGCTAGGGGGACAAATTTTAAATAGTGGCTTATTTTGGCAGGAAATTTATAAAGTTCCCTAAAAAGGTGTGTAATATATTGAAATATAGGTTTTCGGTGTACTACATATCTTCAATATATGTAGTTTCAGAATCAGGATGATGCCACCCTGGCATCCTTGGGGAAATTAAAGTATTCAAGATGGCCGTCATGAGGCATTTTATGGTTATTTACTTTAATTTAATGGAGTGTACAATTCGGGAAAAATTCTCTCGGACCTCGGTATGAAGGTGGTTTCTGTAAGAATTTTATCCGCTGAATTTAATGAGCTATTCCTCCTAAAAGTGACGACTAATTCCGCTAGGGTGCCAAATTCACAATGGCGGCTCGTTCTTTTGAGGTAAACTCATAATGATCCCTAATACGGTGTGCAATACATTGAAATATTCTAACTGTAACCGGGAGAAAATACCAGCTAGTATCTAATTGGTTTATTTCAGATATACAGATACAACAATCTCTGAAAATACAAACATATCATCAAATGTTTTAAAAACATAAAGAAATTATACTCGATACAATCTATTCACAATTAACCCTTCATCTACATACATTATACATATCCATAATTACGGTCTTGTTATGTAAATTAATGTCTAATTAATAGTTTATATAACATTTAAGGCATAAAGAAAGACCTGCAATAGGCAGATTTAGCGCATGTATAATGTATCTTCATATATTATAATAATATATTTACATATATGGTTATATTATACATTTGTATGCAAATTATACATTTTTATGCTAATTATACATGTTTATGCTAATTATACATTTTTTATACACGCAAGGCATTAAAAAGCAGATATAATAAAAATATTAATACAAATATAGTGGATATATAGATATCTGTACGAATTTAGATATTAATATAACAATACGAATATATCAATACGATTTTTGATACCAATATATCAATACGATTTTTGATACCAATATATCAATACCAATTTTGATTCGAATATATCAATACCATTTTTGATACCGAATATATCAATACCATTTTTGATACCGAATATATCAATACCATTTTTGATACCGATATATCAATACCATTTTTAATGCGGACATATATCAACTCGAGATAATAAAGCAACAAAAATTTAGATACGAATATATGTATATCAACACGATGGTATTAAACAGCATAGTCTTCATGGCTAAATATTTGTCATTTTAGAGTGAATAACATATTTTATTTCATCGAGAAGCAAGTAATACAGTGGGCCTACATTATTATTATCACATTTTAGAGTAATATAGTAGGCCTACGTTATTATTATCACATCTTAGAGTAATACAGTAGGCCTACATTATTATTATCACATCTTACAGTAATACAGTAGGCCTACATTATTATCTCATCTTAGAGTAATAAAGTAGGTCAAGATGTCAATATAATTTACATAACACTGTCTGTTATCTTTGAAATTGCCTCAAGCATGCTCACTCAGTAGTGAGACCACCCCACTATTACGACCAAATCTAGACAGGTCACGGGTGGTCTTAATAGAGGAATTTCACAGTCTATCAATACAAATTTATCAACACGAATATAGAAACGCGAATTTATCAACACGAATTCAACATGAATTTACATATAAATTATTCAACGAATTCAGATATCAACACCAGGTTAATATCATACGAATATAGAAACGCGAATTTGGATACGAATACATGAACACAAATTTAAATGCGAATTATCAACACGAATTTAAATATTAACATGGGGTTAATACCATAGGAATGTATATTAATATTTTTAATTTGATGGTTTCTCACAAATTGTTGTAGTATGAATCACAATAAGAAGTCATCAAAGAGATGTGGTATCCGATGTTCTAGAAAGTATTTGATATTATACCAGGCCCCCAGTTCACAAAGCATTCTCGGACTTTAGTTAAGAACTTATTCAACTTTCAATCACTGTTGATCCAGAAACACATTGATACATTAAAACAATAAACGTTTGATAAAGGGCCATATTTGAGTTAAAATAAGGTGAACAATTTTGAGTAAATTCTTAAATTAATCAGTTTATATACATTATATTAAATTAAATGCATTGCAGCACATTTGTGTCAATTTCTAGGTCCCAAATATTAGCGATTAAGCCCCTTTAAGTGACTTTATCGACACCTAAAATTCTAGCATAAACCATTTGTCAATTATACTCTCTATAATATTTCATTTTATTGCATTATGTCAGTTACTTTAAGCTGGACTTGTACCGTAATATTTTTATCTTCATTCAAAAAACCACGGCTTGTGTCGGTCAACATTTCAAAATCAATGACGTCATTCCAATCATATGACTGACACGCATCACTGAAAGTTTGGTTATCTTCTTTAACTGTGGCAAGTTGGCCTTCTTCTTCATTGATGAGTTTGATGGTGAATTTCCCCCGGCAAGATTTGTATTTACTGTCAAACTGCAATCTTATATGGAGAAACTGGGCTGGTGTCACATAAAATGCATCAAGGAGGGAAGATGGCGATGCCATGTACCGCGATACATTTTCCACAAGGGAGGTAGTCTGAGTTTTGCTTGCCGATTTACTAACACTTACTTTCCAGGATAAACCCCCAACAAGAATTTGTGGACTTTCGAGCCATAGATCTGTAATTAAACCAACATTAAATGTCTGCCGGAAAATTTCTTCTTGGTAAATATTCAGCTTTCCCATCTTTTCCAGTAGAAGCGAAGAGGTAAGTTGGTCTATTTTACCCGGGCGAAATTTAGCGGAACTTGCATTCGGAACTTTGGGTAATTTCCGCTTCTGGTTTTCTTCTTTCTGTAACTTTGCAATCTGTACCCTGTTGATGATTTTAACAGTGGAGCGATCTTTAGAAGTCTGGGAAATGGTTTTAATATTATCATGAAGTTGTAACAGGATTGTATCCACTCCTTCAGAAATTCTGTTCATCGATTTGACGTCTGCTTCGTGTGTGGCCGTGACGTTTTGAATCATCTGCTGCTCCAGTTCTCTGATCTTTTTACACAGTTTATCCCCTTGCTCTTCTATCTGTTTACACACCGACTCCTTCGAGTCCTTGATCTCTGATATGTTGGTTTTAATGGAATCCGAGAAAGTTTTAAACTTGGGTATCTGATCTTCCAAGTCATGTTGTAATTCTTGTAATTCTTGTTTAAAAGCTGGTCGGACATCTTGTAGGGTTTGAACATCATGCCCTCTATGGCTGCTTAGTTTACACTGATTGCAAACAACCAGTTGACAATACGAGCAGAAACTATCCAGTATTTGTTGATCATGGACGCCACAGAATTCATCTATAGCTTCATCTTCGACATAAAAATTTGATTGAAACCCCTTGGCCCCCGCTGGTGGCACATTGCAACTCTTTCGGCACAATGGACAGTTGAATCTGTTATTACGTGTAAAATTGTCCATGTGATCTTGTAGACAGTCCTCACAAAATGTGTGATGACAGTCAATTATTCTAGGTTTTGTGAACTTTGATAGACATATACTACAGTTATTTTTAGCATTACACTCCGCCATTTTGCAGCTAGAGCAATATTACTCACTATTACGTCACATATATTAGTGTAACATTTAATATATATCTCGGTTTAGCTTTTCGTGGCGGTGGGTGCTTTTCACGAGACAGGGAATGTCTATTATATCTAGAACAATTCACTTATTTGGAAAGTTCACACGGCTAACACTAGCAATATTACGTCACATGTATTAGTGTAACATTCAATATATATCTCGGTTTAGCTATTCGTAGCGGTGGATACTGTACACGAGGCAGGGAATGTCTATTATATCTAGAACACTTGATGTCACTCCTCACCTATTTGGAAAGTTCACACGGCTAACACTAGCAATATTACGTCACATGTATTAGTGTATTTAATATTAAAACTATATTCCAGATTACCTATCAGCAGCTGTGGGTGTTGTACACGAGACAGGGTGTGTCTACTCTCTTTAGAAAATCTGATGCCCCTGCTCACTTATGAAGAAAGTTCATACAGCTGACAGTAGCGGTGTTTGTTGTACACGAGACAGGGTGTGTATATCCTCTTTAGGAAATCTGATGTCCCTCCTAACTTATGTGGAAATTTCATGCAGCTAGCAGTGGGTGTTGTACACAAGACAGTGTATATGGAAAGTTCATACAGCAAACAATAACAATGCAAGTATTTTCGTCTGTAGTTCAATCAAAGGTTTTATCCGTCACAGCGATTTTTATCATCGTCAAGTCCACAAAACAGGGATCCTTTGCAGCAATTGGTGTCCAATATAAAATCAGAGTAGGCCGTTCTCGTGAATATATATCAAGAAAATCGAACTATATGTCATATATTTACATGGGAGTACAATTCAGCCATTTTGTATATCACCATAATAGAACAGAAACTGACGAATACAATATCTTCCTTATTGGAAGTCAAGGTTGTTTTTAACATGTACACAGCGACATTCTAAACTCGTCCGCAGTGGATCCTATGCTATTAAGATCACTGGACTTCGAGTTCAAACTGCAAAGTGATCTTTTACGGGACCTCGGTTTTTTTTTATCCCATCCGAACTACTTAGCGCTGTTCTAGTCCAGGTCCCCGTCAAGCAGCACTGATAAGGGAAGTGGGGGCATGCTGTTAAATCCCCAACCAACACCTGTATCGAGTCATATGACCATAGTGGGTTGGATGGCTGAATGGTTAGCGTGCGCGCGCTGTATCATAAAGTCTGTCATTGAGTCGACTGGTGTGGTTTCGAATCCCCGGTTGTACGTGACAAGGAGTAGGGTCGCCTGTCCAACCTCGTGGGTTTTCTCCGGGTAATCCGGTCCCCCCCCCCCCACTGCTAAAGACCCCTACGCGCAAGCAAATTATTGAAATAAAATTAAACCATATGTTAGTCCCGAAATGACCTAGTTTGTGTCGATCGGACGTTAATCCCCATTTCTCTCTCTCTCTCTCTCTCTCATATGAACATAACGACAACACGTCCACAAATAACAAGGGGGTGTACATATGAATATGTATTGCTGAATCATTTTAGATGTTTGATCGTCTCGATCAATATACATGTATGAATCTCCACCTAACTAACTAAACACTCGTTGTGGCTGGCTGCACGTGAGCTATGAGTATGTATACGTCATTATGACACGGTAGGGCAGTGACACAAGTTATGAAATATAATTGGGTTTAATGTTCTTCGGGTTAAATGAAATGAAATGAAATGGGGTTTAACGTCCTACTGTTCTGCTCCGATTGGGCTAATCAAGACGGGCATACGCTATATAGTGTGCTATGGGGAGAATGCTGCCCGTATAGCGGTGCTACGGTCTACTCATACATACATCGAATTCTAAATTCTTTTACATTCAGGCCTCAGTTTTTAGTTTCATTCGAAATGAAATGAAATGAGGTTTAACGTCCTACTCTTCTGCACCTAACCTGGGCTAATTGAAGACGGGCATACGCCATACAGTGTGCTATGAGGGAAATTTTGCCCGGGCAGCGGCGCTACGACCTACTCTTATATCGAATTCCAACTGCCAAAGGATCTTTTACGTGCACGCCAATGTGTACACGGGACCTCGGTTTTTCGTCCCATCCGAACGACTAGGCAACTGTCCTTGTCAGGCCCTCCGTTCTGCATCACTGACAAGGGGAAACCACGCCGGAAAATCGAGATGAACTTTCTCAGCCAATGCAGGGATCGAACACCCGACCTCCAGGCTAGCGAGCCAGCGCCTTACCCACTTAGCCACGTGATCCCCCAGTTTCATTCGAACTCGAACTACTATACGGTGTCCCTAGCGAGGCCCTCTGCCCTGCATCACTGAGAAGGGGGAACCAACCACATCGGAAAATCCCTATGAACTTTCTCGACCAACGCAGGGATCGAACACGTGACGTCCATGTTAGCGAGCCAACGTCTTACTCACTGAGCCATCGCGGCTCCTATGGGTTAATGAAGACGTGTATACACCATGCAATGCTCCACAAGGGAAGCGCGCTATATCATACAGTCTGTCATTGAGTCGGCTGGCGTGGTTTCGAATCCCCGGTTGTACGTGACAAGGAGTAGGGTCGCCTGTCCAACCTCGTGGGTTTTCTCCGGGTCCTCCGGTTTCCTCCCACTGCTAAAGACCCCTATGCGCAAGCGAATTATTGAAAAAAATTGAACCATAAGTTAGTCCCGAAATGACCTAGTTTGTGTCGAGTGGACGTTAAACCCCATTTCTCTCTCTCTCTCTCTCCACAAGGGAAAGTGTGCCCGGTTAGCGGCGTTTCCAAACTACTCTTTGTGAAATTTCAACCGTCAATGGTTATTTTCCGAGTACACGAGAGATCTCGGTTTTGAGGACCATCCGAAGGATTAGACTCTGTTCCTTGCCAGTGCCAGAAGTTATATATTATAACAATGACAAAATAGGAGAGCAATAGCAGCGCATTCGTGTCCCGATAATATTTTCCTCATAACACACTGTATTACCGCAGTTGTTAATACTGATACCCAGTCGAGACAACAAGTCCTGGCCTCATAAATAAATTACGGTGGAGGATTTAAAATAATCACAAACCATCTTTAGCTGTCACGTACAAGTGAGGAATCGAAACCACGCCAGTTAACTCCGTGACAGACCTTATGATACAACGCGCTCACGCTAACCATTCGGCCATCCACCCATCCACCAACCCCCCCCCCCCCCCGCCCGCCCGCCCGCGGAATACAAATAAGAGATAAAATTAGCAAACATTTTGTAGTGGAATACGTCTGAATAAAAACCAAATATATGATGATTATAGTTTTTATAAAAGGAAGGTGGGCGTGTGTATGTGTATGTGTGAAATAGCTTTATTTAACGCCCACTTCCACCGAGGTGATATCGCCGATAAAGGAGGATGGGCGATTATTTAAAGGGTCAAATAAATAAAGCATTACAAGACTCGTTTCGAAATAAACACTTAGTAGTACATTTAACATCACATACAAGAACATCAATGACGATTGTTTGATTTAAAACATAAAAGAAAGATAGACGAATTTTTATAGGGGCATTATGAAAGATTTAGATAAAAAGCTGGTCGTTTTCGCTATAATAGTTCAAAAATAGATCGAGCAAAATTATTATATCAATGGTTGTATTTTTGACAAAATGTGTGCATTGATCGTAACCACCGTACTGGTCATTCGAGTTTTAGCATCGTTTCTCCATTTTTAAATTAAATGAACCGTTCTAATCTACTTAAAATCAATAATTTATTTAATAAATGTCTTTTCTTTAGATGGTAGGTAACCAGGGGCGGATTGGTCCGGGCGACCGCCCGAAAGGCCGGTCGGACAAAAAGTGAAAAAAATACAATTTTGTCCAATTCGTCTAAAAAAAAACTTTTTCTGCTGAACATTATATAGGGGGTGGGGGGTGGGGGTATTGGACCGGCCATAGAGCGATGAGGATCATGTTGTATTTGGCCAGTGGCTTTAACGGGCCGCCATGCCATCACTGGAATCTGGAATGGGCTGGTATAATAGACTTTCTGAGCTGGGCGTGGGCTGGAATTCGGAATCCTGCAATGGGGATTCCGAATTTCATCCGAAAATTTCATCGGATTCACCCGACACTGTCGTCGGCAAATTTACTAATTATTAACTCACCTGCACCCTGTTTGTGGGGATACGCCAGAAACGTCTACCGATGGTTCGTAACTCCATTTATTAATAATATGACGATTTGATAATGTCACAGGTTGATGGTTGCAAATTACTTTCAGGTAGGGGTTTTGGCCTAAATTAATCGATTGATGAGATATATTATTTGACAGAGATTATAATCAGATATGCCACCAAATCGCATATTTGGGGTTCATTTTTCAAAATTTTCCAGGAGGAGAGCCCCCGGACCCCCCGTCCGGGCTCCGCGGTCAGTAAAAGGGGGCGCTCCGACACGGGAGCCCGGGCCGGTTCCCGGCACCAATCCGCTCGTGTATGTAACATTAAACATATATTATGCAGGTCTTTCTTTAGGCCTGAAATGTTGTCTAAATTATCAATTAGACATTAATTAACGTAACAAGACCATAATCACCTCTCGATGTCATATTTACTGGATTAGGATCCGATCTGCTGCTCAACTCTCATTCATGATTAAATCAAGAAATGGATAATCGAGACTATGTATTTTATCGTATCGACCAGGCCCAAAATTCAGTCCCTATATTCTCGGTTCAGAGTGGATCAATTTGACTGCAATTTTCAGCAAATTACCTTTACGTCATCTAGTTTTTAACTATTACAGTGAGAACTGCCAGCCCTTTATCTAATCTCCCATAATGTATCTTTAAATATTATAGTGAGAACTGCCAGCTCTTTATCTAATCTCCCATAATGTATCTTTAAATATTATAGTGAGAACTGCCAGCTCTTTATCTAATCTCCCATAATGTATCTTTAAATATTTCTGTCTCCGGTGTTATTTGCATTCACTTCGTTTCGTTGTAAAATGTCCGACAGTTTTAATGATTTAAGCATAAGTCGCATTTTCCTTATTTTTCCTGTACGTAATTCAAGGCGGATCAACAACATCACTGTACACCCATTCAGTTTGAAAACATTGAGTGGCAGGAAATTTTGAAAGTACTCATGTATTCTCGACAATTAATGTTGGAAAAATGAAAGTTCAATAGCCCGGTTGGAATTCTCAATGAAACAGCCAAGAAACTTACATTCAAATGTAGACAGATTTGAAATTATTAAGACTATATTTTGTACACGTAAAATATTTATTAAGATGGATCGAACCAAATTAAATCCCCACATGTGCGAACCCATTGAACCGCACGTTATTGATCTACGATATAAGCTATACTGTCCACTAGATATATACACGTATTTAATTATGGACTTATCTACGATATAAGATAATATACTGGCCACTACATATATACATGTACACGTATTTAATTATGGACTTAATTTAATTTCCACATGTAGTGACAATTCTCTTGATTAAATAGAATGCACAGTCAGCTATACGAAGGTATTTGTGTGGCTGTTTCATATTCTGTTCCAGTTAAGAGAGAGAGAGAGGGGGGGGGGGGTAACACAAACCCGGTCATTTTGGGACTAACATTGGGTTCAATTTTATTTCAATAATTCTCTTGCGCGTAGAGAGAGAGAGAGAAGGGAGAGAGAGAGAGAGAGAGAGAGAAAATGGGTTTAACGTCCACGTGACACGAACTAGGTCATTTCGGGACTAACATATGGTTCAATTTTATTTCAATTAATCGTTTGCGCGTAGGGGTCTTTAGCGGCGGGAGGAAGCCGGAGGACCCGGAGAAAACCCACGAGGTTGGACAGGCGACCCCACACCTTGCCACGTACAAGCGGGGATTCGAAACTATGCCGCTTAACATAATGACATACCTTATGATACAACGCACACGCACTAACCATTCGCTCCCTCCTCCCCTCGACGTTACAATGTAGAAACTTTGCTGTGATTTATTGTATAGAACAGCCGATATAATATGTATGATCAATATCTAGTATGCTAAAAGATTTCTTCCAATTCGCCCCCTCCACCCCACCCGCACATGTACGAAACTGATCTCTGGTATCCTAATAGTATTTCACAGGGTTGTGAACAGAATAAACAGCAAGTTGAATTAACTTAAAACTAAATAATTACATTAGTGAAAAACCCGGTTGATTTTTAAAACCAAATTTATTATAGTGCATTTTATATAAAACAAGACGACAAAATGTTTTTTTTTTTCTTCTTCCCTTTTTTTGTTGTAAAACTGACTGAAGACTAAAGGGGGGTAACTCATTACAAACTGGTGCACATTTACACCCATTATGATTTAAAAAATATTGATATGATTTAAATAAGTCAAGTATTCATGTTTAAATTACAAAAAAGTAAAATTTATAATTAATTTTTTTTATAACCCTTAATCAACATTTTGAAACGATATTAATGCTAATTCTGTAGACTAAAGGGGGGTAATCGGTGTCTATGTTCCAATATCCTCATTTTTCTTTTAATCCAATGAATTAAGTCCCCATATGAAATGATTTTTACAGAAAGAGAAAACAGTGATTAAAAGAAATTCGTATCCAAATAAATGTCGACAGTCGTTTGAATAAGGTGAGTTAAATTAGGGTCATCAGCTGTTCGAGTAACGGTTTATATAAGGGAGGTAACTAGGTTCTAACCTTGGCATTGTGACCTTGAACTTTGACAGCGAACGGATTGCGTGAGCTTGATGTACTATAATCACGTTTATATACTGTATCGGTGTTGTTATTAGAAAGTCATGCTGGTACAGTTGTACGTCCGGTTTAACAGTAAAAGTCAAAACGAGTTTTAGATATATTTAACTGGTCTGTTCTAGATTTTCGCTGTAATATTTCGAGAGGTCAACTGTCAGTTACTGTGTCACGTTATAAATGGCCATGGCAGCCCCAGTGGATAAAACGAAGAGGACGGGGAGATGGTATTTTGGGGGAATGGCAAGTGCTGGTGCCGCTTGCTGTACCCATCCTCTTGATCTTTTAAAGGTGAGGACGATCCATTAATTTCATTACCCGGTACTTGATTTGATATACGGTTATTGTTCATTGTTTGCAATGTCTGTGTTGGGTAGGCCCTAAGTAGTTTGACTTGAGTGTTTTTGTCCACAGATTTGTCTTGTTATGGACTTTGTTTGTGTGTTGTGCGGTCCTCCTGCGAGAGAGAGAGAGAGAGAGAAATGGGGTTTAAGGTCCACTCAACACAAACTAGCTCATTTCGGGACTAACATGGCTCAATTTTATGTTTCAATAATTTGCTTGTGTTTAGGGTTCTTTAGTAGTGGGAGGAAACCCACACGGCGACCCTTTTCCTTGTCATGTACAACCGGTGATTCGAAACCACGCCAGTTGACTTAATGACAGGCCTTAAGATAAAGCGCGCACATGCTAACTATTCGGTCATCCAATTCCCTGCCCCTGGTCCTCCTGCACTTACACAATCATTTTTGCTTGACCTTTATCAATTTATACTTTTACATCATTGCACTACATGTAGGTACAATGAGATAGGATTGAACTTTAGACCTTAATGTCTGTCCTTGGGTCAAATGGTGTGGTTCTGATCCCACACTCGTATGTGGCAACGAATAGGGTCGCCTGTCCAACCTCGTGGGTTTTCTCTGGTTTCTACCCACTGCTAAACACCCCTACTCATGGGCGAATTATTGAAATAAAATTGAACCATATGTGGTGCAGGACAGCATACCTGGCAGGGGTCAATGTATAGTCATTCGGATGGGACAAAAGATGAGGTCCTGTGTACTCATTGGTGTGCACGTTAAAGATCCCTTGTCAGTTGGAGTGGATGTAAGAGTAGTCTGCAGCGCCGCAGTCCGGGCACAATTTATCTCAAAGCACACTGTATGATGTATGCCTATCTTCAATAGCCCAGTCGGAGCAGAACAGTAGGACGTTAAACCCCACTTCATTTCATTTCTGTAAGCACAGTAGAAATTTTATTTTCTCCCAAACTTGATCTATTTAAAAGTGATTTGAATCTGAGGACTTGAGAAATGTTTATAAATACAACACATACTGGTATTTGATATACTTGTATTTTACACATGTAGGTAGTCTTATTTTGTAATAGTCAGTAATAATGGCTGTTATATACACCTTTGTTAATGATCGTTAGTTACAAGATGATGTTGTCAATCAATAGGTATTAATTACTATTTATCATACCGTGTAATAAGTATAATATCCAATGAATATGGATTGATTGGCATCATATTGTAGCTGTTAATTAAAGCAGGTGGATACAGGTGGCTCTGCTTCATTAGCCCAGTTGGTGCCACATTTCTTTTCATTTAAAGGAGGCTCAGTGAATATTCCTGTCTTCATAAGCCCAGTTGGTGCAGAAAAGTAGGACGTTAAACTCCATTTTATTGTTTTAAAAAGACATCTAGCACTAGATAGAAAATAATTACAGCTACTCAAATTATTATGGATACCTCTCTCTCTCTCTCTCTCTCTCTCTCTCTAACATTGAACTCCTGAACTTTTAGTTAATGAATGAATGCTTTTGTGATGTCAAGTTACTGCATTGAACACATGTTAGCCTGACAGTTATCTCAATTTTACACCCATTTACCCAAAATAATTTCTTGAATTGACATAGTTGTCATTTCTGATCCATCAAATTTATTCATTGATCTAAAAATGAATCGCTGTGAATGGATGATGTGTACATGTAAATTCTACTTTTGTTTTCTTCATACATCTTGACCAGTACCCCATTGGTTAGATATGATACATGTACATCTCTTTTACCCTGGCTAGACATCGTTTACCCTGTCTCCCCCCTCTCTTCATTTAGTTAATTTAACATCTCTACTCCCCCTGGCTAGTTAATTTACACTGCTACTCCCCTGGCTACTCCCCTGGCTAGTTATAATACAACCCACTCCCCTGGCTAAATATCATACACCCCTACATGTCTGGCTGTTATAATACACATCTGCTCCCTATGGTATCATTTAGTTGTACGGTTTTAGGAGAAGTTTATGTATCTAATGTTTAGTTTCAAACCATTGTTGGCAAACTGTTCAAACCGTTGAGAATTGGGTTCCTGTAGGAATTTCCTTGTCACCAATTTTAAAAGGGTTAAAACAGTCTGTCTAGACTACATGTAAATCTAGAGATAATTAATGAGTATTGGGTTTACAACTGTTTTATTTTCACTAGGAGGTGTCGAGTAATTAACAGATTAATTAATTACACCTCTACTATATCCTGGCTATTTATCATATTGATCCACTAGCCATATAACATTTACATGTAAGGTACAAATTCTAAAATTAACACATACCGTATATAATATTGTATACCAACAAATTCTGTCTGATTAGTTCTTCAGATTGTACAAAAATAAATTCCAGTTGATCAACTTGTTGTGTCTGAAACTATTAGATGAAGTTGAAACCAACTAGTTTTGTTTTTTATGGTTGATATGATTATAATAAACTGTCATATTATTGTTATATGATTGAAAGGCTCAGGGCATTATATTACAATAAAATATTGTGACATGATTTTACATCATCTGGTGATCTACATTACTGGAATTTGTATAGATTATTTTTTAAACTATAACTCTAATGAAATTTTAATATATTGTGACAGGATTTTACGTAGCCATCATTTACATTACTTGAATTTGTATAGATTATTTTTTAAAATATAACTCAGGAAATGGATTTATATAAGCTTCGGCTTGTTTTCAGGTCCCATAATTAAATGTTGTATCTTTATAATATGTAAATATTGAATAAATATTGTTAGAAAAAAAAAATATATATATATATAACTCTAATAAAATTTTAAAATGATACCTTATTGATGAGTGATGTTTGTTTTAACATAACGACTTTTATACAATTTGTTTACATGTATGCGTACATTTCTGTACTTTATATTTGTATTTTATTTTGTAAAACGCATGATAATGAGAGTGATTCTTTGCTATTTAGAGGATAAGATTTGGAGCCTTATATAGTAAGTCCAGGGGGGCTGTACCACACATAATTTACACAAAAACAAATATACGGACAAGACATATTACGCAGAAATCACACGAACAATTCAAATGAAGTGAATGGATCCGGGGGCTAGCCATAAGCGTTCACTGCGCTGTACAGTCCCAGACCTGTAATGATACGGATTTCACTCAAATTTGAAAACAATCAGGAATAAAACCCAGAGGAACCCTAAGAGCCTAATCAGCCTATATACATGTATGTAGCCAGGACTTCAGTAACGAGCACAATTACACTTTTAACCATTTATCAATATTTAAATTATGGAGTGTGATTTTCAGCTGTAACATGCTCGACAAGAAACTCTCCTAAATAAAGATGCAGAACAGATTCTTGATGGGGCCCAAGCTCAATCACTGCCTATTCCCAGAAAGATTGACTATACCCCCATTGCTCATTACAGTTTGGGGGGGGGGGGCACAGTGGTTCATGGGTTGCAAAACAGAGGCCTGGGTCTGCACACATTGGCGTGCACAAGAACCTGTGACTGTTGGAATTTGTTGAAAGGGTAGGCAGAAACACTTCCATCTAGACAATATTTGCCCCCCCACAGATTGCACAGATAACCCTGGAAATTAAATTGGTAGAAACAAGACCAAAATATCATTTATTATTTTATTTTATTGGTGAGATTTGTTAATTTTAAAATTGTAATTTTATATCATGTGATTCAGGTACACCTACAAACCCAACAGTCAGAGAAAATAGGATTATTAAAGATGGGGGTACGTGTGGTTAAATCAGACGGTATATTTGGACTGTATAACGGCTTGACGGCATCTATTTTAAGACAGGTATACAGAATTATATTTGTAAAGTAGATAAGTAGTTTGATTGCTCGATACTTTTGAAAAAGATAAACATGCAATTAATTAATATATGTCATCTATTTATTTGTGCTGGAGAAATCGGGCTCACTGTTGGCGTGAGTTTTCAATGACAATAGACAATGTCTAATTATTGTATTTTATACAGTTAGCACTAAAGAATATTCGACCCGTATCCCTAGACAGTACAAAACTATTCCCTCTTAGACTGTCTCAAACCTTGTATTTCATTTCTTTCAAACCCCATTTCATATAGAAATATTTGGTTACATTTAACGTATTTTATATGTAAAACAAGGTTACGTTTAGCGTATTCTACAGGTATAACTAGATTTACAATCTAATAAAACATTAAACCATATTTCACTTCTTTTAAACCCCATTTCATATTTACAAATGTATTTTTACAGTTGACGTATTCTATGACAAGATTTGCGATCTACGAGACTGTGAAGAAGGAACTAATAAAAGATGGACAGACTATGCCGTTTTATCAGAAAATATTATTAGCTGGGGTTGCTGGGGCAACGGGAGGATTAGTAGGGACACCTGCCGATATGGTCAATGTCAGGTAAGTTAGACTAGTAGGGACACCTGCCGATATGATCATTGTTAGGTTAATTAATAGTAGGGACCCCTGCCGATATGGTCAATGTCAGGTAAGTTAATAGTAGTGACACCTGTCGATATGGTCAATGTCAGGTAAGTTAATAGTAGGGACACCTGTCGATGTGGTCAATCTCAGGTAAATTAATAGACTGTTTTATTATTTAATGGAGAATATTTGGGGGATGTCGTTTGTTTGATGACATTTTACATATAGGATTTACAGTTGGTGTGAATTCAGCAAAAATTTATAAACAATTGTTTATTCACTGATTTGGTTGCGATTTGATAATTTATTTTTTCGGTGCTTGATGAAATATTTATTATTAAATTTAGAATGTTTAATTATGTGAAATATATTTTCAGAATGCAGAATGATATCAAATTACCAGCTGATCAGAGAAGAAAGTAAGAACACAGTTAAAATATTCAGATTTTTTGTCTCTCTCTTCAATAGCATATAGTCCAGATCGGAATTCTGAATAATAGTCACGATCATGACTACATTTATTAGAATTCTACAAAGATACGTGAAGAGGAACGGCACCACTCCCATTAAAGAGTAGCTAAGACACGCTGTTAGATCTGTGTGGCTTACTGGATCAAACGATGATAACGGCAGGACAGGAACACATGAATAGATATTTAAGAATCCATGCACACCAGCAGTACAATAGATTTAGGTAGAAGTTCTTTAATATGAATTCTACCAGGGAGAATGAAGTACAATAAAATGGGTTTTAATTAGTATCCAACTGTTCTGGCTAATTAGGTGAATCAAGACTGGTATATTTGTGCGGCATGCAGTGAGTATTGAAGATAACTGGCCTACTATTATATTGAATCCCAACTGGCATGTGACTTCTGTATTTTGTCCTATCTGAATGACTAGACTCTGGTCTTGTTTTTTACCAGTCTCTCCCACCTGCACCACTCACAGCGGAAGGTAAAATTTCCCTCATAGCACACTGTATGATGTTTATCGGTCTTCATAAGCCCAGTTCGTTTCATTTTATTTATTTTTTTATAGTTATAAACATGCTGTCGATGGTTTGTATCGTGTTTTCCGTGACGAGGGATTTCTACGATTATTTTCTGGTGCCTCTACAGCCAGTTCTCGTGCCGTTTTAGTCACGATTGGTCAGGTTCGTATTCTTCTATTTACATTCCAGTAACAAATTCAGATTGTTTAAGTCACATTAAAAAAAAACAACCAAACTATATTCCGTAAAAGTTTTGTGTTTTTAAATTCATATTGTTTAAGTGATATTAATTGGTCACATTAAAAAAACAACAAAACATAATTTGTATTCCATGAAAGTTTTGTGTTTTTAAATTTAGATTAGTATAACTTGTGTGTCTTATATTGTAAAGTCTATTTTTGGAGTTGTTTTGATTCTAAGTAATAAGTAATGTGGTTGCCTGTCTGCAGAGAGTCGTCGAATTTTCTTTGGGTCTATTATTGGAATGTTTTCGATTCTACTTAATAAGTAGTGGGGATGCCTGCCTGTAGAGCATCATAGAATTTTCTTACTCCAGCTTTCTCCCACAGCTAAACACCGCTGCACACAACAGTATTATTAACATGAAATTATACAAATGTTAGTCCCAGTATGACCTAGTTTGAGTTAAATGGAGGTTACCCTATTCTCTCTATCTTTAACTATGTGATCTCAACTTCATTCGTGGCTAAGTAAGCCCAGTTAGAGCAGAACAGTAGGACATTAAACTTCATTTCATTTCTCCATCATTCTCGTTTGTTCACCCTGTCGTCTTTATTTTTTTTCTGTCATTCTGTTGCTTTAATCTCTCTCCCTTACTTTACCTTCATTCTCTTCAATGACCTATATATCTTTATCTTATGTATAACGACTGTTGACCGCTGTCTACGTAATGTTTACTAATCTTCAGTAAACTTTATTTGATATAATATCACAGCTGATCTGCTGTCTGTAGATAAACACAATGACGTAAAACCATCAGCCCGTAAATTAAACCTGATAATAAACCACCGGTCACTGACAACAGACACAGTCTCTCTTTGGTCCCTTTCATTTTATCTGGCAGAAATTTGTCTTTTTTATGTGTTTTCATTAAATTCAATATGTCAGCAAGTCTGGAAATAAGGCGGCTATTGAGGACATTGTTACACGAACAATCCCTCTGGTCCCTATCAGCTTGTCTGGCATTAATTGGCTGTTTTACAGAGTTTTCATTACTTTTTTTAAAATACATATCAAGCAAATCATTGTTATATTGTGACATGTACTGTGTCATTTTGTCTGTGGACATTATGTACTTTTGTCTGGAAGCATGGTGTACTGCAACATATTATCTTGCAGGCATTGTGTACTCAAACATTTTATCCTGTGGGCATTACAGTATGTACTGTGCTATTTTATCCTGTGGGCATTGTGTACTGTGCTATTTTGTCCTGTGGACATTATGTACTCTGTTATTTTATCCTGTGGACATTATGTACTCTGCTATTTTATCCTGATCCCATTGCAGACATTAAAATGTTGAATAGTCCAGGAATTTGATTGAATAAATTTTAAAAGGTCTTTATCACCATTTTAGGGGTTTCACTATATTTAAATCTATTGATTTTCAGCAAGTTCTGTTAGTTAATATTAGAGTTATTGCCCTTATTAACCATACCATATTTTGTATTTTTATATTACAGTTAGCGTGCTATGATCAGATTAAAACAGTATTATTAGGTTCTGGTGTTTTTAGTGATAATTTATTAACGCATTTCTCATCCAGTATATTAGCGGTAAATATTATTATATTATATATATGGAAAAATCCCTGGTGGGGTAGGATGGCTGAATGGTTATCATGTGCGCATTGTATCATTCCCAATAAAAGCATGGCAGATTTCATATACTGGGTATATGGAAAGTAGAGACGGCCAATCTTACTAGAAAAATACTGGATTCCCTGAAAAACACCCATGGGGCAAGCAATAGGCAAAAATTTCAGGGTATCACTAATTATCAGTCCAACAGCTTATTGTCTGCTAGCTTAACTTAGGGAGCGGTTGTTATTTCATGATTGACCAGTTAAGCAGTTTTTCGGAACACTGAGGGGTTTAAACGTTCAACCGACTCTGCAATTAAATGGCAGAAAAAGATGTTGGTAGAAGATAATCCAAGAATTTACTTAAGCTTCAATATGTATGGTAAAATGGACAGTAAGTAACAGAAAAATAGATTCAGAAATGGACCCTCCCTCAGTCAAGTTACATGACAAGCATGGCTTCTAAAAATATCTTAGGGGTTTTTCTCCTCAATACAATGTTTTGAGACGGATTTGAAGGAAATTTTTGATAGAAATGAAATGAAATGAAATGAAGTTTTATGGCACGTCAGCACCCACCGGGCTATATTGCGCCAAACATATGGTGATTTATGTGAGACAAGTTAAATAAATATCACAGATAAAGTATTATATGCATAAATAAAAACAATATCACAGTAAATAAAATTAAAAATAAAATAAACCTTTTATGCATATTAATATTTAAAATACAAAAATGAAATGATAAATATACAATTAAAATTTATGATAAAAACATGTCTCTTTTAAAAAGTCTAGTAGGTTACAATATAAACCCGGTTGGGCATTTTTGATAGAATAATTAGTTTGAAAATATTTTAAGTCCAAATATATCATCAAATTACCCAGTTTGTACATGGGAAGGCATGTTCAAGCACCATTTCATTTCATTTAAAAACAATAAACACGTTACTATAGCAACATTTTGTTTGTAATATTTCAGGGTACTATAGCAACATTTTTAACACAACCTTTAGATGTAATGAAAACTAGATTAATGAATGCAGCACCAGGTGCATACTCTGTAAGTATTATTTGTGTAAAGTTATCAGGTTGATTTACGATAATACCAGCTTGTGAAATGATAATAATTGATGAAATGCTAATAAGGCCATATATATATAAAAGATATTTTTTTCACGTACTCCTGCATCACTGAAAAAGAAAATGTTGAGATTAATATAGAGTCAGTTACATTTTGAATAGCATTTGAGTGTTGGTAACAAGCCCCTACAATAAGTACCTAAAGAGAATTTGTTTAAACATACATTATGCAAGAGCTAAATCTGCCTATTGCAGGTCTTTCTTTAGGCCTTGAAATGTTATATAAACTATTAATTAACTTATCCAGGCCATAATCAACTCTTGATGCCATTCAATGGATTTAAACACGTTTTGTTGTGGATAAAATAACCGTAAAATTGGATAATCGAGACTTAGTTTTTTATCGTACCAACATTAGCAACGACAATCGAGGGTAGCCTAAAATTGAATCGCTAATATCTTGGCTCATAGTGAAGCAATTTGACTGAAATTTTCAGAAAATTCTGTTTTCATTTTCTATATTTTAAGTATTATATCGAGAACTGTCAAGTCTTTATCTAATCTTAGCCTTTAATATTACAGGGTTTAGTATCATGTGCTGTTGATATAGGTAAAAATGGACCTCTAGGTTTTTATAAGGTAAGACATCTATTCAATAAAAATTTGGGGGCCACGGTGGTTAAGTGGGTAAGTTGCTGGCTTTCTAGCCTTGAGGTCGCATGTTTGATCCTTGCATTGGCAGAGAAAGTTCATTGGGATTTTCCGACATTGTTTCCCCTTGTCAAGGCATCTGTCTAGTCATTCGTTCAGGACGAAAAACCAAGGTCCTGTGTATACATTGGCATGCACTTAAAAGATCCCTTGGCAGTTGGAATTCGATGTTAGAGTAGGTCATAGTGCCACTGCCTGGGCAAAATTTCCCTCATAGCACACTGTAAGGCGTATGCCCGTCTTCATTAGCCCAGTTGGAGCAGAACAGCAGGATGTTAAACTCCATTTTATTTCATTTTATTCAAATTGAGCGAGAGTGGAGAAACTTGGTTTATAATTTCATTACATCAATACCTTGGCTAGGTTCAATATATGGGCATTTTCTGCTCAGGTTACGTAGAGTGATAATCAATTTGATTGGTCCAGGAATTATAAAAAGATCAATGTGCAAGGAGATTAAAGGAGCCGTCATTGGTTAATTTGGAGCGAAAGAGCTTTAAAAAATCTTTATATTGTAGGCCTTTACAACTATTTAACGCTCTGTAATGCCATCTGTAATGCCAAGTACTAAGAACAACCTTGTTATCCCAAAATATAAACTCGAGTCTTTTGGAGCTCACTCATTTAGCTGCCAATTTGTGAAACTGGCTACCTGAAAATCTTCGATCCAGTCCATCGTTAGACTCCTTTAAATCCAGATTGAAACTTATTTGAGAAAATTTTTGCGAGAGTGATTGTGTTTTTTATAGCCTATGAGCACGGCTATAAGTGGAATTAGTGCAATATAAATGGACTTATTATTTATACTATCTGTTTCCCCATTGTCAAGTGGTTAGCACGTGCACGCTGTATAAGGTCTGTCATTGAGTCAACTCGCATGGTGTTGATTCCCTGGTTGTACATGACAAGGAGTAGGGTCGCCAGTCCAACTTCGTGGGTTTTCTCCGGGTTCTCCGATTTTCTCCCACTGCTAAAGACCCCTACGCGCAAGCGAATTATTGAAATAAAATTAAACCATATGTTAGTGTTTAAGTAGAATTAGTGCAATATAAATGGACTTATTATTTATACTATCTGTTTCCCCATTGTCAAGTGGTTAGCACGTGCGCGCTGTATAAAGTCTGTCATTGAGTCAACTCGCATGGTGTTGATTCCCTGGTTGTACATGACAAGGAGTAGGGTCGCCAGTCCAACTTAGTGGGTTTTCTCCGGGTTCTCCGATTTTCTCCCACTGCTAAAGACCCCTACGCGCAAGCGAATTATTGAAATAAAATTAAACCATATGTTAGTGTTTAATGGACGTTAGACCCCATTCCTCCCTCTCTGGTTGTTTGGATGATAAAGGCCCTCTGATATTTGGAAATCAAAATAGGATGTTATACCCCATTTTATTTTGATTTCACATGTCATATAATAATGTTTACTTCAATTTGTTTTTCAGGGTTTTATACCAGCATTTATCCGTCTAGGACCTCAGACTGTTATTACATTTATACTCTTTGAACAGATTCGTTTCCATCTTGGAGATGATCCTAAAACATAAGGGTGTATGTAATATTAACGTTATTCAATATAAACACAAGGATCCCATTTTACAAGACACATGCAAACATGTTCCTAACTTTGCATGTATGCTTCTTGAAACTTAAAATTGATTGTAACTTTAGTTTTTAATTTAAAGAATGGCAGCTGAAAGAAGTTTTTAAATCAATTGTCTATTATAAGGTACAATCAAGATTTCAGTTTGAGTAAATTATGCTATAAAATATTTACTGGTTCCGATTATGGTGAACACCAGTTGTGAATAAAATTCAACATTCTTAATGCTATATAATTACTAGTGAATATGGTAAACACTAATTCTAGATACTATATAAAGGTAAACACCAGTTGTGAATAAAATTCAAAATTCTTAATGCTATAATACTTAATGACTGCTTCAAATTATGGTAAACACAAATTTGAAATAAGATGAAACATATTTTACTATGCAATTAATCGCTAACACCAGACACCAAGTAATACAAAGATTTGTTATTGAAAATACTTGAAAAATTCTCCACTACTACTCAAAATAACCAGTGCTAGGTTCCTACGATCACAATTCGTGCTACGATTAAAATCGTGGTTTAATCGTGGTGATCCTATCAGGTCTTATTATGTATTGATGTCAGTCGTAGCAATCGTGTTGACTGTATCGTAATTTTATCGTAGTGCATCGCACGACAGTGGGAACCTGGCATAAGCAAGATTTTATAGAAAAATTTATACATTATTAGATAGCGTGTTTATTTGAAACTTTATACACATTGTTATACCATATATACCATACATAAAAACTAATAAGGGGAACCATCTTAAACTTAAACCTGCCATATTGGTGTGCACCTTACACTTGCCTTATTGGGTAATAAGTGGAGCCATATTGAACTTAAACCTGCCATATTAGTGATATGTTGTTGTATATTAGTTAATATTTTATTATTTATCTTATATTAAAACCGTTCAAAAATACACTAGGCCTAACTGAAATATAAATAATATCAACTTCAATCAGCAAATAAGGACTCTTGTGTGATGTCATTATGGTAACTGTCCACCAATATTTATAAACAAAACTGTCTTGGTATTATAGCCATTCTTCTTACTTTGTCAACTAGTTTAGTCCTGAAATGACCTAGTTTGTGTCGAGTGGATGTTAACCCCTTTTCTAAAACTTCTATCTACACAAAACACAATAAAACTGGCATCACAAGTAGCCTTGGTTAAATAAAGTGAAAATTATTTATATTTTCGGTTGTGCTTTTTAAAAAAAACTATTTTAATATTAGATAATGAATAAAATTTGATTTTTTTTTTATGAAATTCAACATTATTATGTATGAGTTAAATACCAAAGATTAGTGTGTAGAACCATATAAAACTATAAATATAATTGTATTTATTGTATATTAAACATACGTTATGGGAGATTAGATATAGAGCTGGCAGTTCTCAGTATAATTGTTCAAAACTAGATAATGTAAAGGCAATTTGATGAAAATTTCTGTCAAATTAATCTACTCTGAACTGAGAATTTAGCGATTGAATTTTCGGCCTTGCCTTGATCATCATTACTAAAGTCAGTACAATAAAAAAAAGTCTTGATTATCCATTTCATGATTTAATCATGAATGAAAGTTGAGCAGCAAATCGGACCCTAATCCAGTAAATATTGCAGGCTTGCGATGACATCGAGAGTTGATTATGGTCTGGATAAGTTAATTAATGTCTCATTAATATACCTGAAACAAGAGGCCAGGTAAATATACCTGAAGCAAGAGACCAGGTAAATATACCTGAAGCAAGAGGCCTAATATTAAATAATGTTATATTCAATGATATTTATATGAGACGTCCAGAAGAAAATTAAATTTGTTACGCACAATTTGAATAGTGCCTCACATTGTTTTTGATATAATACACAAATTTCCAGTCCTGATAACCTGGATTAATTATAATTGTTCTATGAAGGTAGCTTTATCAATTTGTACTGAGATTTTAGAGATGATTTTGTTGTTTGTAATTTGTTTTTGTTAAGAATTTATGAGTGATGCAATAATGTTGATTATATAAATTACAGGTTAACAAGCCTGTAAATAAGGCACCTGTTACAAATAATAATGTTGATTATATAAATAACAGGTTAACGAGCCTGTAAATTAGGTCACCTGGTACATTGTCAGGCACAGATTCAGGATTTGTCAGATACACCCCTGCAGTATATACCATATACCAGTAGTGTCAGATGCACCCCTGTAGTATAAACCATACCAATAGTGTCAGATACACCCCTGCAGTATATACCATACCAGTAGTGTCAGATACACCCCTGCTGTATATACCATATACCAGTAGTGTCAGATACACCCCTGCTGTATATACCATATACCAGTAGTGTCAGATACACCCCTGCTGTATATACCATACCAGTAGTGTCAGATACACCCCTGCAGTATATACCATATACCAATAGTGTCAGATACACCCCTGCTGTATAAACCATATCAGTAGTGTCAGATACACCCCTGCTGTATATACCATACCAGTAGTGTCAGATACACCCCTGCTGTATATACCATATACCAATAGTGTCAGATACACCCCTGCAGTATATACCATACCAGTAGTGTCAGATACACCCCTGCTGTATATACCATACCAGTAGTGTCAGATACACCCCTGCTGTATATACCATACCAGTAATATCTGATACACCCCTGCAGTATAAACCATACCAGTAGTGTCAGATACACCCCTGCAGTATAAACCATACCAATAGTGTCAGATACAACCCTGCTGTATAAACCATATCAGTAGTGTCAGATACACCCTGCAGTATATACCATACCAATAGTGTCAGATACAACCCTGCTGTATAAACCATATACCAGTAGTGTCAGATACACCCCTGCAGTATATACCATACCAATAGTGTCAGATACACCCCTACAGTATAAACCATATACCAGTAGTGTCAGATACACCCCTACAGTATAAACCATACCAATACTTTGCAAGTATAATTTCTCTAACACATGATCTATAGCAAACATTTCAACACTTTTTAGATTTGTTTATTACAGTATTTTAGCATAATATTAAAATTTGGGCCATATGGTAGTTTAAGCTTTAGATAGAATTGTATATTTTAATTTTTAAGTTTATTGATTAGTGCTAGATGATTTTTTTAAATAATGTACGGTGATTTTTGATTGATTATGATGTTTTTATAAAATATATGTTATTGAAGATTGAAAGCCAATGGGAAGCAAGTATATGACAACAGGAACATATCATCAGAGCGGTGGTGCCAGAATTTAAAAATTAGTGTATGTGCTATTCTTTCAAACCCAGCCATATCCATGCTTCATGAAAGTAGTATCGCCTTCCTAACGTCATGGGTTTTCTATGGGTCCTCAGGTTTTCTCGCACTGCTAAAGACCCCTACAACCAAACGAATTGTTGAAATGTAATTGTATAATATTAGTCTTGAAAAGACACAGTTTATGTTGTAGACTTTAAAGCCATTTCTCTCTCCAAAATCCATAACCCTATTTTCTTTCCCCTTTTAGATTGACACAGTTATTGTGATCCAGTATTTAGGACATACTTGTACTACAAATTGTCTGAGGAAGGCTCCTTGCACTTCTTCCAGGGGGGTGGATGGCCAAATGGTTAGCACGTGCACACTGTATCATGAGGCCTGTCATTGAGTCAACTGGCATGGTTTAGAATCCCCGGTTGTACGTGACAAGGAGTAGGATTGCCTGTCCAACGTCGTGGGTTTTCTCTGGGTCCTCCGGTTTCTTCCCACTGCTAAAGACCCCTACCCGCAAGCGAATTATTGAAATAAAATTGAACCATATGTTGGTCCTGAAATGACCTAGTTTGTGTCGAGTGGATGTTAAACCCCATTTCTCCCTCTCTCTCTCTTCACCTCTTCCATCTTGCTGTGAAATTCTACCGCTACCACTGATATAAATAATGTACTGTGTAGTTGTCTCCCTTGGTGTATATTTATGGGTCGTTATAATATGATTGTTGTTTTTGAATGAGAAGACCGTATATATAATAATTATGTTGTGATGTGTATAAGTGAAATCCGAGATTATAAAAACTCTTTTAAAGTTTTTTTTATCATCCATTGGCATATTTTAAACAGGTACAGGATTGTAACCTTGTGTGTGCAGTATTAATGAGAAATTTTATTATGTAAGAACGTGAGTAAATATCTTCTACTGTTCTTTGAAAGGACGTATGTCGAGCACAAGAACCAAACCGACCGCTATTGAATAAAATATCAACTGAAAAAAAAAATAGAGCTCGGTTCTATAATATGGACGGATCATTTTTGTCAGTAGTTATATAATTTTATTATTATGTTGATTTTCTGTATATTGTCATGGTCAGATCTAAATATTAAGGCCACCTGCAGATTTCGTCAAGGTCACAAGCTGATTGTTGCTGAGGATTGTGGGTTAGGGTTGGTGTTAGTGTTAGCCTTAATATTTAGCTCTAACCATATTGTTATTGTTTATGATTGTATATTTTCGTGGATAACGAAACCAAATATAAAGTTGTTTGTCATCGTCTTGTAAGTGGAGTGCTCTCCCTTTATCAACCCTTGGTTAGGATCATCTATTATTGTTGTTTTAATAGTGAAATGAAAATGCAATAGTTGACAGAGACGCATTAGTATTTGTTGATGTATTCTATATGTAAATCCAGAAATATTTTAATATTTAATTCAATAAAAGGAGTGAATGATTTAACGGTGGATAATATTTCCCACAATATTTTTAAAATAAAGAAATATTGTAATTTTTTTATGGGATAAATAAAGAATTTAAACAAAAAAAAATCCTTGTCTGTTGTTTACAGAACAGATATGGTGTAATAATGAAATTTTCTCATGAATTGAGTGGCATTCCAAAATTGAACAGAAATTCTCACATAAATTTACAATCAATTCATATAAAAATTTTTGATTGTCATTTGAGTCTTTCCTTATTTTAATGTGAATGTTTGAAATGCCTACTTCTCCTACTTATTTCTCTGTGTTAGTATTGTAAAACTATTTGACTTGTATCAACTTGGCAAGGTCAGTACAGTATGCCTTGCATGGAGCTTAAAATATTATTAGACCAGAGCTGGTACTGAGTGACCGATTGGTCAAAGATCTCTATGGAAGCCATGACAAGGAATAATCAGATCTGCTGTTGTTTATAGGTTTTCACTATGTACTTGTGTTGCTTCCCATTGCAGACGAGAAATGAAATGGGAAGGGGTGGGGGGTTCCAGTAATTGTCAAGTCCTACTTTTCTACAATTTGGCTGAACACTATACAGTGTGTTATTAGATCAGGCCCCCCCCCCCCCCCAGTTCACAAAGCATTCTCAGACTTAAATTTACTCAACTTTCAATCACTGTTTATGAGAAATATCTTTGATCAAGAAACAAAAATTTGGAGATCTTATTGATGTATTTGATACATTAAAAACAACAAAAGTTGTATAAAAGGCTATATTTTAGTTAAAATAAGGGGAACAATTTTGAGTAAATTCTTAACTTAAGTCTGGGAATGCTTTGTGAACTAGGGCCAGTTCTTATTTCCAAACTATCCAACCACTTATACACTGTATCTTGCCATGCAATTCCTGTACAACTGTACCACTGACAGGGAAACCACCCTGGAAAATGATGAGGATTTTAAACATCCTATTGTTTTGCCCTGACTGGGCTAATGAAGACAGGCATATACGCCATACAGAGTGTTATGAGGGAAATGTTGCCCTGACAGTGGCACTGGCAACATACTCTATCACATTCCAATTATTAAGGGTTCCCAGGTATCATTTAATCTTGTGTATCTAGCACTAATTTCTTTCACATTTGTTTCATATCAAATCTTTGTTTAAAATTTGTAAAAATCGTTTAAAATCACCCCAAATCATCTAATTTGTACTTGTGTCCAGTTTAAAGCTGACTGATTAATTTTGGTAATAAGTGTCAAATTTACAAGTATTTAATTTCCTGACCACTGTTCAATAATTAATCATTATACATCAATAATCAATTGGGTTGTTTATTTTTTTTACAGTGATTGAGAAATTAAACACTTGTAAATTGGACACTCATTATAAAAATTGAATGGTCAGCTTTAAACTGGACACAAGTACAAATTAGATGATTTATGGTGATTTTAAACGGTTTTTACAAATTTTTAAACATATGTGAAAGAAATTAGTGCTAGATACACAAGATTAAATGATACCTGGGTTACAGTGATTTTACGTGCACACATGACCTCAGTTTTTGTTCCATCCGAATGACTAAACTAGTTTCAACATCCTGCTGTTCTGCACTGACAGAGAGAAATGGGGTTTAACGTCTACTCGACACAAACTAGGTCATTTAGGGACTAAAACATGGTTTAATTTTATTTCAATAATTCACTTGCCCGTAGGGGTCTTTAGCAGTGCGAGGAAACCGGAGCACTCAGAGAAAACCCACGAGGTTGGACAGGCGACCCTACTCCTTGTCACGTACAACCGAGGAATCGAAACCCCGCCAATTGACTCAATGACAGACAGTATGATACAGCGTGCGTGCTAACCATTCGGCCATCCAACCCCCCCCATTATACATTCAAGTTCAATAATACGAATAACTACAGTAACAAACAAACAACAAAGTCAAAAGCTTGATTTGTATAAATATTTATTTACAAATTACTAGCAATTCATTGTTTGCACTTTTGAGACAAACTACATTTTAACATCGTTACATAGTTGTTTATATCTTCATTACATAAACAAATATTGGTCTCCCTATTTACATACACAGGGATCTTAGATAAATAGATTTTACACTCGCCCAGCTGTAGGCAGGTATATAGGGTAATAGATTTTACACTCGCCCAGCTGTAGGCAGGTATATATGGTAATAGATTTTATACTCCCCCAGCTGTAGGAGGGTATATATGGTAATAAATTTTACACTCGCCCAGCTGTAGGCAGGTATATATGGTAATAGATTTTACACCCGCCCAACTGTAGCCCGGTTATAGGCAGATATATAATAGATTTTACACTCGCCCAGTTGTAGGTGGGTATATATGGTAATAGATTGTACACCCACCTACTCGTCTTCTGCATTTATTGAGAGTATTAAAGGATGACGTAAAGCCACCATCCAGCACAGAGTTTCTATTACTGATCGTTATTGACAATAATTATATCTCAACTGAACAGACAACTTTAGCCTTATTGACAATAATTATATCTGGACTGAACAGACAACTTTAGCCTTGATACCGGTTATTCCACAATAATCAGTTTGCTACCTGTAATATTTCCATCTTTACTAACCATATTTCTCATACATATATATTAACATATAATTATGTAAATATTGTTTTTAATCTAATTATGTAATTAATATTATATTAAACTGACTGATATATTTATTCGTCCTCTTGGGTAGTATTTATAAAACTTCTTTAACGATATTAAAAATAGTCATAGGTTTATAAAGAGAGAGAGAGTGAGAGAGAGAGAGAGAGATTGGGTTTAAATGTTCACTCCACACAAACTAGGTGATTTTGGGAAAACATATGGTTCAATTTTATTTCAATAATTCACTTGCGCGTTGGGTCTTGAGCAGTGGGAGGAAACTGGAGGACCCAGAGAAAACCCACGAGTTTGGACAGGCTACCCTACACCTTGTCACGTACAACTGGGGAATCGAAACCACGCCAGTTGACTCAATGACAGACGTTATTATGATACAACGCAAACATGCTAACCATTCGGGGCCATCCAAACCCCCTCCACTGACAATTAGTAAAGAGGTTAATAATGGTTTATCAGTTAAGAAACAGATTGTAATTTTTAAGACCTTAAGAAGTTTAATAAATACGGAGCCAGATTAACAATCAGTAGGCACTTATATCAAATTCGTTTGATTAACAAGCTCAGTGTAATGTAGATACATGCAGTATTATTCATCTTAAATAATCTTATTTAAACTTATTAATAATATAAATAATTTTAACTCGCTCACAAGCAATGAAATATCTTAAGTTTAATTATTTTGTGAATTGCCCCCAGAGGTTAAAATCCAAAATGAAATGTCTTACTTTTATGAAATGAAATGAAATGGGGTTTAACGTCCTACTGTTCTGCTCCGACTGGGATAATGAAGTTGTGCTATGGGGGAATTTTGCCCGAGCAGCCTTACTTTTATGCACCAATCAGATTAAAGTAAGCTTCGTCTTTATGTATGTTTATTGATTGTTATTATTCGTGTCTTGGATATGTGCACTTTGGATCATTAGGTCTGTCACTGGGTCAAGGGTTTGTGGTTTCGGTCCCAAGTTTGTTCATGGCAGGGAGTAGAGAGCCGTCTGTCTAAACTAATGGGTTTTCTCTGGATCCTATAGTATCCTATGCCAAAGACCTGTATTTACACACAAGCGAATCATTGACATGAACAGACAAGAAAAAATGTCGACCTTTAGGTACAGAGTTTCTAGCAGTGATGTTATTTCAAAATTTTTCCTGTCAGACAGTTTTACCAAAAATAAAGGGGCATAACTCTTGTTATTTACGATGATACACCAACGTGATCATTTCAGGAGTCATTTAATTATATCCCAACTTAACGAAACAAACCTTCTGAATACAACAGAAGGCTCAAACAAGGGACATAACTATGATTTACTCGTCTTCCATTCATTAACTGTATAATTAACTCTGGTCTATCATATGATCTAATATCGAGTTAAAGGGACTCGACCTGACATCTGACTGACCTAAAAAAGGATCTCGTCATTTCATTTCGTCAAACCACCGTCACATAACCATTGACAAAAGCAGACGTCAACCCCCCTCTCGTCCACTATTTAGATGTTTGACCCTATATTTATTTACTTTGTATATATCTTTAACGAAGGGCCTTCTAGGCCTATTCTCAACCCTTGTTAAATATAGATGTTATTAATGTTTCTATTAGATTTAAGATGTCCGAAAAGACGAAGGGATACACTTATTTACATGTCCCGCCCACAAGAGACAGAAATCATCCAGTACTTCTTCGTGCACTTATCCAACACTTGATGGATTCGAATATTTGATTGACATTTCATTATAAAATTATTTCATTCATAAAATTTGTTATGAATTTAAAAAAATCAACATTTAATACAAATTCATCAAATCGCTCATAATCAAAATGATAAAATTATAAGCACTTAGAATAAATCAAAAAATCGTATAATATTGATATTAATAAATAAATCTCCATGACAACAGGTCAATCACATGTCATACACAGTTAAAACAATGAATGTGATTGGATGATAAAAATGAGCTTGTCCAATCAAAAGATTTCTTTCTGCCATTTTCAGTAACAATAACAGTATAGAAACAACAATTATTTCAAAACAGGAATAAAATTCTTTAAAAAATGTTTTCTAGTTTTTAGACATGAATTTACAATGCATATGGTGGCTTTAAAAAGCCTTAATTGTAACAAATTTAAACAATTTTGATTTAACATTTGGGCACCGTACACCCAAACAAGAATAGCCAAGGTTTGAATCCCTGAAAATGTTTTTAGAATTTTCCCAAATAGTTTTTAAGAGGTGTGTGTACTAGTTTCGGACGAATTCCCTCACCATGGTTACATCTGGTTACATCAGGGGCGTGGTCAGGGAGCCATGGTTACACCAGGGGCGTGCTTAGGGGGCCATAGACAGCTTGAGTAGACATTCAACAAAGTGGTACAAATATTAGGGGTGGTACAGGTGGGAGGATTCTCTCTCGCAACCATTGAAGATTTCTGTTCATGAATCATGTACCCCACCTTGACAATCGGAGAACTCCTCAGATTTGACCGACTATGTTTTCCTTTCTCAATTTCTTCACCAATTGCTTTCCTTTAGCTAAATTTTGTGCGAAACAGATTATGATTGTAAGTAGCAGCACAAACATATGAGTCGCAAAAAAATTAATAGGAACACGAGTATCTGTCCTGGTAACCTGACTGGCACCTCTCCCTTGAATCATATTAAACGTAAATCAGTTCTGGAAGTTCACAGAAAATTGAAATAATCCAAATATTTCAACAAATTCTGTTTAAATGTCTTGATACGGCTCTAGTAATATCATACACTAATTATTAATTATTAAATATATTACAAAATACATTCCATTAACTGACAGCCATTGTTCTCTAAATTAGCAAATCTTATTTGATTATTTTTATAAATTAAAAAAAAACTATTATTTAAAGCTAAATATATAACATATTGTCATCTAAATAATCCATGCACGAAAAATGAATTCAACTGTCATTCTTCCATATATGGTTTTCATAATCCAAATAAGGAGATATCACAAAACTAAAATACAGCAGTTCCAAATATGGTCATATCCTCTCATGACCATGTATATTTCTCACTGGCACTGTTGCTAGTGTAGACAAGATCATCCAGCAAGTATGATCTTAATTACTCACTTACACAGTTTCTATGTAGGCAAGATCATCCAGCAAGCTGTGATCCAGTCTTGTATTTTGGCACACTGGTATACACTCTCGACGACGTTATAATCGAAAGCTCCATCGCACGTTCTCCGTCAATTTGTTTCTTTAACACTAAAGGCAGATATTTTTGAACTTCTTTAAACAAAAACTAAATCCACTTGAAATGAAAGACAAACGTAAAAATGAGATTCATTGAATGATCCAGAAGTTTCAATATTCAAACGCACCAATCAAAAAGCTTGCTGCCCCCAATATAATGAAAAGAAAAACAATCACAAAATGACGTCTGGTAATATAACAAAGAGTTGTTTCCCTTTCATTCAACCAACATGGCATCTAGCTCTTCCGTTAAATCTTGTAACATATTGTCTATATCGGATAATACATCGCCAGTTTCTGTATTTCGTGAAGTTTTCCTAAAAAAGAAACAAAATTAAACAATTGTAGTAAAATTTGAATAGTATTAACAATGGCTAAATTTTCATTGTTTTTAAAAATAGTTAGTCAAAAGTGTAGATGGAGGTAATAGAAGCGAAGAGAGAGAGAGAGAAATGGGATTTAACGACCACGCGACACAAACTAGGCCATTTCACGACTAATATATGGTTCAATTTTATTTCAATAATTCGCTTGCATGTAGGGGTCTTTAGCAGTGGGAAGAAACCAGAGAAACCCCACGAGGATGGACAGGCGACCATACTCCTCGTCATGTACAACCGGGGAATCGAAACCATGCCAGTTGACAGACATTATGATACAGTGCGTATGTGCTAACCATTCGGCCATCCAACCCCCTCACATTTAGAAGCATCACGATGTGGATCTTCTACTGTTTTAGAGGTTTACGAGATTTACCAAATTTTTTCCCCGCATTGGCCGAGAAAGTTCATCAGAATTTTACGACATGGTTTCCCCTTGTCAGTGGTGCAGGACGGAGGTCCGGATTAGGACAGCTGTTAAGTCATTCGGATGGGACGAAAACCAAGGTCCCGTGTATACAATGGCGTGCAAGTAAAAGATCCCTTGGCAGTTGGAATTCGGAATAAGAGTAGGCTCTTGCACCCCTGTCCGTGCAAATTATCTTTCATAGCACACTGTATGGTGTATGCCCGTCTTCATTAGCCCAGTCGGAGTAGAACAGTATGACATTAAAACCCATTTGATTTGATTTGAATTCATTGATGAATAAACGGAAATGTCTCTACCTGGGTATAATTTCCCTAATAGCACACGCATGATGTACACTCATCTTCATTTATTGTCAGGTTTGGGTATACTACAATGTTTCAGTAAATATACTTACGGAGACAATGGTGGTTGTAATTGTTGTTGTTGTTGTTGATTTATGTTATTAGGTAAACTTGGTTTGTGGGAAGGTACAGACGGCCTTACTACTCCTGAAATAAATAAAGATTTAATCGTCACATTATAGGTTGAATGATTAAACACCGTTATTGTTATAGGATTAAATACTGTTTTAATATATATTATTTCTACTGCCCTTTACTAGGTAATTTAAACGATATCCTAGACTCACAGACACTGGGGAGAGAGAGAGAGAGAGTTTAATGTCAACTCAACACAAACTAGAATATTTTAGGATCAACATATGGTAAAATTTTAATTTTTTTTTCAATAATTTGCTTGTGTGTAGCAGTCTATATAGGTGTCAGAGGACCCAGAGAGAGAACCCACGAGGACTAACATATGGTACAATTTTATTTCAATAATTTGCTTGCAAGTAGCAGTCTATATAGTTGTTGGAGTACCCAGATAGAGAGAACCAACGAGGACAGATCTTATTGATCCCAATCCCAAAATATTCCAATCATTTGAGTTCTCGGATGATGAAATGGCAAATGGCAAGTTGGAAACGCCAACCGGGCTTGAAAAATGTCACGAATCAAGTCAAACCCTGAACTATCAAAAACTACGCAACTTACCTTTAGGTGGTACGACAGGCGCCGATCTACTCATCAAATTATTATGTGGGATAAACTGAGCACTACACGATTCATCGAATAATCCTGAATTGAGATCTATATTTCTCTCTCCATCCATGCCATCCATCGACGTAACAATAGAAGGTTTAGCCACATTTCCTATTCTCTGTTTTATCGTACCAACATTTTCGTTGGCGAACGGAAGAGTATTAGAATCGCCACTCGATACTGAAGAAGTTGACTCAAAACTTGAGGTAGAATCGCTTCGTTTTTCACAAAAGTTCGCTTTTATTATTTCAACGTCCGTCATTTTATCACGACCTTGAGATTTAACAAGGTCACGACCAGGAGAAACATGCCGCCGTATTTGTCCACCAACGAAAGAACGATCACTGAGTTTTTCATGAAGCGACTGGCTCATGTCCTTTTTAATTTTATTCTGAACAACGAATTCTGGTGGAACCGATTTTTCCGTTTTACTTGGGATTCCGTAGTTTCTGATTTTAGGAGTGATGATATCCATAGCGATTGGTGGAGGTGGAGGAGGGAAATCCTCCCCGTCTGACGACAACGTGTCTTGAGCAACTTCCTCGTCTCGTTTCTTGCCAAATCTTTCTGATAAACTTTTCACACAATCGGCAAAATTCTGTGGCTGTGCTTCTGGAGCTGTTTGTTGATTCTTGATAGCAGAATGTTGGGGTTTTGGAGGTGGAGCCTGTTGATAGACAGGTGACTGCTGTTGGTAGACTGGTGATTGCGGCAGCTGCGGTTTTGGAGGCGGAGTTTGTTGTTGAATGACAGAAGTATGCGTTAATTTAGATGGTGTTATCTGATGTTTGATTGGTGATTGTGGCAAGTGTGGCTTGGGGGAAAGTGCTTGGGGTTTTTGCTTTACGGGAGATTGTGTCAGCTGTGGCTTCGGCGGAGGTGCTGGTTGTGTCACTTGCTGTAATTGGTCAGTTTTTTGATGAACAGGGCTTGATTTGTTTGATGTGTCAGCACCATTCATTGGTCCATCTCTGATCGAGTTGGTGCGCTTTGGTGGAGGGGGTGGGTTCTTTTTTGAACGCCCAGTAGGAGATGGTGTTTGCGATGTCATTTCTTGATTGGTTGCTATGAATAAAGGACTGGATGGTCCTTCCATGTTTGTTTTTGGTAAAACAAGGGGTTTAGGGGCTTTTGGTGGGGACACGTGAGGAGTGTCGTAAATATGTTCCTTCTGATACGCGTTATTTTTACTACTTCGCTTTAATGTTCCTCCTGCGTATTGAGAATTTGAACCGGGGAACTGATTGGCTAGTTTCTTTCCATCTGAATTACATTCAGACTCATGTTTTTCGAGTTCCGCAAAATCTGGAGACATTTCATGGCTTGAACGTTTAGTTTTGGCGATGATTTTTGCCACAGGTTTTGGTTTTGCCGCTACTTTTGGCGCCATGGGTGCTATGGCTACAGGTGATTGATGATCTGGTTCAATGAAAACGTCTCCACTCTCAGAAGTCTTACGTGGCATCGTTCCTTGAAAAGAACGGTAGCTGATTGGCTGACCTCCCATGTCAAGCCCTTCCCCGGCTCCATCTACTGACGAAGTACTGGTCTTCGATTGGTTACGATTGACCTGGATCGCGATCACATCAGGTTGATAGCCATTAGAGTTATTGCCTATTTCAATGATTTCTTTAGTGGGAGGTAATCTGGTCTCTCCGCTACCACCACTTCCAATCGTACTGATACTTTCACCTGAAGATGATTTTTTGGGAATAGCTCCAAGAAGTTCATGACTTACAGCCATGTCAGTTGACCATCTTCCACCAGCACCAGGTGGAGGAGGTGGTTCCAGAAGTTCTGTTGTTGATCCATGACGATTGTGTTCAACTGATGATAATCTTTTACTGCCACTCGATATCCTTTTTAATCGTTCAATGGCCAAAATAATCTTCTTTTGATGACCTGAAAGATGTCAACATTTTGTTATTAGTGAAAAAGAAATGAGTTAAACATTCACTCTACCTTAACTAGAACATTTAGTTAACAAATTTAACTTACGGTTCTTCTTGGCCAATGAAAGGATTCAAACTAGTAAAAAGTCTAGTCCAGTGCCGTGAATGCTCAACTACTAAATACACCTTGACAGAGAGCAAAGAGAGAGAGAGAGAGAGAGAGATCAGGTTTAATGTCCACTCAGTGTACACCAGGAGTCTTAAGCAGTGAATGAAAACAGGTTGGACAGGTAGGCAATCCTTCCATTAATAATGATCTACTCGGTCACCAAACCCTCCTCTTCCGCTACCATCGTCTTTTAACAAGTGAAATAGATTATTGGGCTGAAATTCTCTGATCATTATTTGAAGAATTTAAATCCAGTCCGAACAACAAATTTTTAAATCTGAATCTCTAAAATGAATATCAATCCAAAAATTCTCTGTTGATGCATACAAGCCAGAGATGCTTGGTTTGAAAATATGAGCAAGACAGAGAGATAGAAATGGGGTTTAACATCCACTCGACACAAACTAGGTCATTTTGGGACTAACATATGGTTCAATTTTATTTCAATAATTCGCTTGTGCATAGGGGTTTTTAGCAGTGGGAGGAAACAGGAGGTCCTGGAGAAAACCCACGAGGTTGGACAGGCGACCCTAATCCTTGTAACGTACAACAAGGGAATCGAAACCCCGCCAGTTGACTCATTGACAGACCTTATGATACACCACGCACGTGCTAACCATTCGGCCATCCAAGCAAGACATGTTTATGTGGATTGACAAATATCCGTACTGGAATATGCTAAATCGACCATCAAGACATGCCTAATCATATTCAAAATTCCAAATAATATTTAATGTTCTGAGGATATAGCTGTTGTAGTATTCCTAATCATTAATAATAGGTGAGATAAACAAAACCTTTAAAATTCTATCGTTTATCATCATCATTACCTAGTCTCTGTATTCCGATTTCCTCAAGATCTTCCCAGGTAATACCAGTAACATATTCTATATCATCATATTCTTGTCTTACTAACGTATCATAATACTGTCCTAAACCCAACAGATGTAACCATTCCATTAAATCATTCTGAAATAAAACAATCATTGTCAAACTGAAAACATCATTCTCAAATCTACATTCACAAACAGAAAATATTTCATTCGGAAATTTATTTTTTGCAATTCCCAAAAGGTTCAACATGTAATGGCATGAAAATGTTGAACAAAAATGTCCTTTACTATAAATTTCAATTATGCTTTTTAAGACTCCCAATAACCTACTGGTATATCTACTGTAAATGAGCAGGAGAAATGGGTTTTAATGTCCACTTGACATAAACTAGGTCATTTCAAGACTAACATAGCTCAATTTGCTTGTGCGTAGGTTAGGGAGGTGGCCCTACTTTATGTGATGTACAAGTTGGGAATCAAAACCCCTCCACTTAACTCAGTATACGATTTGGCTACTCTACCCCCCTTATTGGAAGAAAGAATCAAACTTACTGGTTTAAAATCTGGTATACCATCAGGAATATTGAGACGGGCTATTTCTGCTTTCAAACGTTTACGATGAGCTGGCTTTGTTATACCTATAGCTGTCAAATCCTGGAGGAAAACAAATTCAATCAATTGTTAATTCACTCTTTATGATTACAGTTATTATAGGAAATTAAACAAAAGGCAGAAGAAGGGAAGAGGAGAGGGAATGTGGGGTGGGGAGTGGAGGGGAGGGAAGAGGGGAGAAGAGAGGGGAGGGGAGAGGAGGGGAGGGGAGAGAAGGGAGGAGAGGAAAGGGAAGGGAAGTAAGGAGTGAAGAGGGGAGAAGAGAGGGGAGGGGAGAGGGGAGGGGAGGGGAGAGAAAGGAGGAGAGGAAAGGGAAGGGAAGTAAGGAGTGAAGAGGGGAGAAGAGAGGGGAGGGGAGGGGAGGGGAGAGAAGGGAGGAGAGGAAAGGGAAGGGAAGTAAGGAGTGAAGAGGGGAGAAGAGAGGGGAGGGGAGAGGGGAGGGGAGGGGAGGAGAGGAAAGGGAAGGGAAGTAAGGAGTGAAGAGGGGAGAAGAGAGGGGAGGGGAGGGGAGAGAAGGGAGGAGAGGAAAGGGAAGGGAAGTAAGGAGGGAAGAGGGGAGAAGAGAGGGGAGGGGAGTGGAGAGAAGGGAGGAGAGGAAAGGGAAGGGAAGTAAGGAGGGAAGAGGGGAGAAGAGAGGGGAGGGGAGGGGAGAGAAGGGAGGAGAGGAAAGGGAAGGGAAGTAAAGAGGAGGGAGAGGAAAGGAAAGGAGAGAAGAAGAGGGGTTTAACATCTCATTAAATAGTTGGAGTATTTTGAAAATAAAATACAGTAATTGTTATTTCTATGGTTACATGTGTAATGAGAAGGGGGGGGGGGGGGAGTTTGCTCAGAGATGTTTTCACCTATACTTATTCATATTTCAGAGAGATTCATCTATAGTTTCCAGGTGATTTAAACAATCTCTCAAATAACAATGAGAAACCGTCAGGCCTCTTCATCTTCCTAAATGTTTGTGTTTTATGATGTCTAAAAGTGAATTGTCCGCAGCCATGGTGTGAAACCCAACATTTTAGGAAGATGTAAAGGCCTTACAGTTTCTGATTGTGATTTGAGAGATTATTAATCTCTTGAAAACAATAATATTGTGAAAGTTGAATCTCAGAAAGATATAGAATGGTTGAATTAGGTTGATAAAGTTTTCTACTATACCTCTGGTGTCATTCTAGATATGGTGGGCATATCGTAACCAGCTTGTTGAAAGTTACTGTAATATTCTTCATATCGTAAATCATGCAACCAGGCATGGAGGACCTCATGATCCTTAAAATATAACAAAACATTTCAAATATAACAAAACATTTCAAATATCAATTATAACAAAACATTAACATAGAATGTTGGGAAAAACAAATATACAAACACTGTTGTCTGAGCTATTTATTATATTTATCTAGAATTAAAAACTTGAAAGTTTTGAGAAGATGTTCTCAAAAACCGGAAATGGAGTTTAACGTCCTACTGTTATGCTCCAACTGGGCTAATGAAGACAGGCATATGTCATACAGTGTGCTATGAAGGAAATTTTGCCCGGCAACAAAATTATGCACGTCAATGTAAACACAGGACCTCGGTTTTTCATCCTATCCAAATGACTAGACAGCTGGGAAACCACGCCGGAAAATCCTGATGAACTTTCTCCGAGGGATCGAGCATGCGATCTTCAGGCTAGCGACCTTCTGGCTAGCGACCTTCAGGCTAGCGAGAAACCGTCTTACCCACTTAGCCGCCGTGGCTCTCCCTTAAAAACTGGAAATATAGTGATACAAACTAACACAACAAATACATAAGTTGTTATAATGCACTTCAGGTGATGTACAGGATGGAGGACAGCTGTCTAGTCGTTCGGACGTGGCAAAAAAAACCAGGTTTTTTTTATAAGATGCATCGAAACTTGATCCATTGATCAAAAATCACATAACATCATAATCACCAAAGTGTAGATTTATTTTATTTGAAAATTGCGGTACAGAACAGTAGGACGTTAAACCCCCTTTCATTACAATTTCATTCTACAATGCACTAGTCTAACCTGGTAATATTAACAGCTTGTATTATAATAAATGTCAATAATTATATAAATACTTCAGAAAGAGTGTTACTTATTAACTTAAACATCTAGACGGCAATTTTAACACCCTTTTTTAAGAGTTTAATTTTCTATGTAATTGTTCTATTACATCTAGCACCTAATTTTATTCCTCTTTCTCTACTTGAGATAATTCCATAAACATAAATAAAAATATTTCTCGTTAAAGATACTCATCATCGACTTCATAATATTATTTCAAGGAGAGAGAGAAAAATGGGGTTTAACATCCACTATGTCATTTTGGGACTAACATATGGTTCAATTTTATTTCAATAATTTGCTTGCGCGTAGGGGTTTTTATCAATGGGAGGAAACTATGGAGACCTGGAGGTCTTATGTTTGATCCCTGTGTTGGCGGAAAAAGTTAATTGGGATTTATCGGCATCGTTCCCTCTTGTCAGTGGTTTAGGATGGAGTGCCTGGCAAGGGACAAGATATAGTCGTTCGGATGAGATTGAAAACCAAGGGCCCCTGTACATATTGGAGTGCACGTAATAGAACCCTTGACAAAATAAGAGTAGGCCGTAGTGCCGCTGTCCAAGCAAAATTTCCCTTGTAGCACACTATGGCGGATGGCCAGTCGGAGCAGAACAGTAGGACATTAAACCCAAGTTTCTGTGTGTTATCGGAAGTAGTATAATCGTTAGAGGAAGAAATACATCAACCATTACGACAGTTTCAAGCGTTTCTAACGAGCATTAGATTAATCTACTAACAATAATTTAAATGTTTTATTGAAATATAGTTTAAAATTAAAACAAGACAGATGTCTAATTAAATGTATCATAAATGGATACAGATCTGATTTTAACCGCCAGGCACTTAAAATGAAATGAAATGGGGTTTAACGTCCTACTGTTCTGCTCCAACTGGGCTTATGAAGACGGGCATATGCCATACAGCGTGCTATGAGGAAAATTTTGTCTGGAGAGCGGCGCTACGACTTAATCTTATATCGAATTCCAAGTGTCAAGGTTTTTTTTAACGTGCACTCCAATGTGTACATCTTGAATGTATGAATATTGTTTATCTAGTAAACAATATCTTTTTATTATTTTCGTGTGCAATTTCTGATTTTTTTACGAGTTCCAAGAAGAATTCATGTTTTGCAAGAAAAAGGACATTTGTAATTCAGTAATCACAGTGTATAATCAACATTGTCAAAACCACACAATTTCTTTTTCATAGCTGCTAATATCCAGAATCCAGACCTCATCTTGATCTAAAAAATATAATACTTACGGGAACTCCAGCCTGGAAAAGTTCTAGCACGTTTATATTGCTGGTTGATCCACTCTCCTCTAGACGATCTAGACTACCTAGACTTGAACTTGAGGTACTATGGTAACTTTGTCTGGATGAAACACCGGATTCATAACTCTGTCCAGATAATCTGTGCTGGTTGTTTACTTGTACATTTACAATATTAGGTATCTAGAAGAAAACAATATAGGTTGCCAGGCCTTAAAACATATTCACACAGCAGCAAAGTTGTCCGAGCAGTCAACTATTGAGAAGAGGGAGAGGGAAAGAGAGAGAGATTAACTCCACTCAACACAACTAGGTCGTTTCGGAACTAACACATGGTTCAATTTCTTTTCAATAATTCGCTTGCGCATAGGGTTCTTTAGCAGTGGGAGGAAACCGGAGGACCCGGAGAAAATCCATGAGGTTGGACAGGCGACCCTACTCCTTGTCACGTACAATCAGGAATCCAACTATTTACAAGTCACTAAGAGCAACAACCGAATAAGTAAATATTATAAATCATTAGAATTTGTTACTCCAGCAGACAACACAATTGAAGGGAATTAAACCCATGACATTTGTGAGTCCAGTGCTCGACCAGCAACCCTAGGGTGAACACTAGATCACAGACACTTTACCCGATTCCAAAATATCAAATATCTATGAAATATTAGTCAATAACAAGAAAATATACAAACCTTATGTTCAACATGTCCGGTACTAAAACCACGACCACTATCACTACTAGCAGCACTGTTCCTGTTCGAATTAGCAGGACTTTCTTTAGCTGGACTTGACCCCCTCATGTCACCGGCCATACTGTAATTTGACCATTCGCCATGATCAGTGTGATTCGCAACAACTCGTCCTCCAATCAACTGCAAGTAGAGAAAATCACACGAACATCAATATAAATGTATTCTATATATTTAAACTTGTATTGTAGTCAAAGATTTAACATAAATGTATTCTATATATTTAAACTGACATTGTAGTCGAAGATTTTATACATAAATGTTTATGTATAAAAACCTGCACACATTGTAGATTCTTTCTATTTTAATCATTTTCTAGTATCAAAATAGTTTAAACCATTCAGTATTTTATAAAATAGTTTGAACCATCTAGTATCAATCTATTTTAATCATTTCTAGTATCAAAACAGTTTCAACTATCCCGTATTTTAATCATTTGTTAGTGTTAAATAGTTTGAGCCATCCAGTATCAAGCTATTTTCAACTAACCATCCAGTATCAAGCTATTTTCAACCATCCAGTATCAAGCTATTTTCAACCAACCATCCAGTATCAACCTATTTTCAACCATCCAGTATCAAGCTATTTTCAACCATCCAGTATCAAGCTATTTTCAACCAACCATCCAGTATCAAGCTATTTTCAACCAACCATCCAGTATCAAGCTATTTTCAACCAACCATCCAGTATCAAGCTATTCTCAACCATCCAGTATCAAGCTATTTTCAACCAACCATCCAGTATCAAGCTATTTTCAACCAACCATCCAGTATCAAGCTATTCTCAACCATCCAGTATCAAGCTATTTTCAACCAACCATCCAGTATCAAGCTATTTCCAACCATCCAGTATCAAGCTATTTTCAACCAACCATCCAGTATCAAGCTATTTTCAACCATCCAGTATCAAGCTATTTTCAACCAACCATCCAGTATCAAGCTATTTTCAACCATCCAGTATCAAGCTATTTTCAACCAACCATCCAGTATCAAGCTATTCTCAACCACCCATCCAGTATCACAGATAGTTTTTGTAAATGTGGAACCAATGTAAACTGTAATATGGCCTTAGATTGATTAACAATACCATTGTGAACAAATGTATGTTTCTACAACTGTATCTTTAACTTATATTTTTCAAATCTTGTATTTTAATGCTTTAAATATCTAAATGCACTTCAATACCCCGTCAGACCTGGGTGGCGTTGTTACTGCTTTGATGCGACCGTAAGGCAACCAGAAAATACACAAGGTGAATACAATGCAAGAAAATGTCCTGAAAAATTACAAGCTTGTAAAAAGCCGTGGTATCACTACTTTCCAGGTCAGATCGCAGAACCTTGCCGTTTACACCTGACTTGGCGCCCATTGAGATCACAACTCAATATCTGGCTATTTTCCGTCGTCATAGCAGTGCAGTAAGGACGCCACCCTGGTCTGATGAGGACATTACACAATGTTCTAGTCATTGGTTAGTGCATGTATGTATAAACATCTCCAACTATACATGTAGATGTGCACTATTTATTACTCATTATATCAGACTGCCAGAACAAGTTTGTGTAAATTTATTTATTTATAATCTTCATGTTTTTGATTCATGTGTTCATCATTTATCATGATCGTGGTATATTACAAGATTTCCTATTTAATCTGACAACAGTCATCTATCATCAACAAGAAGTAAACATCATCTGAGATACAAGATAGTTTTAATGGTAAGAAATGGTGTTTAACGTCCACTCGACACAAACTAGGTCATTTCAAGACTAACATATGACTCAACTTTATTTCAATAATTCACCTGGGCATAGGGGTCTTTAACAGTGGGAGGAAACCCATGGGGTTGCACAGTGACAGCTCCCCCCACCCCTGATTTGATGCAAATATCGTATTTACATAAATAAGGATTAACAACCTACTTTTCTGCACCAACAGGGCTAATAAAGATGGGCATACATATGAAAACAGAGCTACGGCCTACTCTTATCTTTTACGTGCACATCAATGTGTACACGGGACCTTGGTTTTTTGACCCATCTGAATGACTAGACAGCTGTCCTTGTCAGGCCCTCCTTCCTGTACCACTGACAAAGGAAAATCGGCCAACACTGGGAGCGAACTTGTGCTTCAACAAAAGTGATATCACAGACAAACCCTAGGAGAGCTATCCTTCTGTAAATTACAATATGATTTTACAATCTTTCCATTGGAGGCCTCTGGCCATGGATTAGTTTGGTAGGATGTCCATCACTTTATTAACAAAAAAAACACATCGATGTTTCTGGAGTAAACCAGCTCACTAAGAGAATGTTTTTGAGATAAATGACTTTATAATATAACGACAACAATTGGCCATGTTCTAACCTATTGTTTACTGGTAGACAGTTACGACAAGTTTCCTGTTTAAATTGATCATTAGCTAGTCATTAAATGACAAGTTAGCCAGAAAAAAAACAATTCTTAGTAAGATGTTGTCGGTCATCTTTTAACGCTTTCACAATAATTACCATATGTCTATATTAAGGACAGGGAGACTGCACCACACACAATTACACAAGACAAACCTATGGACAAGACAAATATACGGACACCACAGACAACAAATACATATATCAGATCATGTGAATAAATACCAATCAATCTGATTAAAATACAGATCAATATTTCGTTTCGTGTTTTTTATACTTTCGATGGCCTACACTACATGAAGATCTGACAAGTTATAGCGATAGGTCACGTCAGGGGGTCAAAAGACCGACTTATGACCTATGACGTCAGACATTTGATTAACCAATCAGCATTGTTGTTACTAGTGGATTACCCACAGTTCTGTGCAAAACACCCCTAAAGCTCGCCGTAAAAGACCGTTTTATTGGCTTATCCCTGACACCATTCAGAACACGAGTTAAATAACAACTCTTCCAGATCCAAGTGTAGTAAAGACAAGTAAAACGAAATTTTGAACTATAAAAACGAAACGAAATAGGATCTGTGTTTTAACCAGATTGAATACCATTGGTCTATAAACTACAATTTGTACCTGTTTTATTAGCTCAGTCGGAGCAGGTAGTTTGTTAAACCCCATTTCATTTCATTACTACAATTTGTCTGTAAAATGTAAATATTCTTTTCTCTTGGCAGTACCATCCTCGGCAGAGATATTAGGGGAGGGAGCCAAAAATTGAGCAGGAAAATACAGAGGGAGAGAGAGAGAGAGAGAGAGAGTTGGGAGAGAGAGGGAGAGAGAGAGAGAAAGAAAAATGGGGTTTAACGTCCATTCAACACAAACTAGGTCATTTCGGGACTAACATGGTTCAATTTTATTTCCATAATTCGCTTGCGCATAGGGGTCTTTAGCTGTGGGAGGAAACCGGAGAAAACTCACAAGGTTGGACAGACGACCCAACTCCTTGTCACGTACAAGTGGGGAATCGAAACCCCGCCAGTTGACTCAATGACAGACTGTATGATACAGCGCGCACATGCTAACCATTCGGCCATCCAACCCCTCAAGAAAATATAGAGAAATTTACCATCAAGGTCCTAACAGAATAGTTTCATGTAAAGTTAAAGTCACTTTTTAAATTCAATTCTAAAATATTGCATTTTTTTTTTACTGAAAATTTTTCAGCTGTAACTATTGATCATTTTTAATTTGTTACTTGCCAACTTGTTTTTAATTTGTTATTAACCAATTTGTTTGATAATAACGCGTCAAGATTATTTAATAATTTCACTCGACTTCTCAACTTAACTCTTAAACACGACACATTATCACCATTTTCATGGCACCATATAATATCAAATAATAGCTTTTCCTGTCAAAAAAACAATGGACGATAATTATCTGTAGTGATATTACCATGCCAACACACCTATTCTCTTTATCATCCAGACAGATTTATTCCTTTATATATGTTTTTATCACTTTTTTTCTCCCTGACTTTCTAGTGTATGCAGTTAATATATATACCGTGTTTAACCAAATAAACGTCCCTGCGTAACATCTCGAGCAGCTGTTGGATTTTTCTAAATTATAGAGAGAGAGAGAGAGAGGAGGGAGAGAGAGAGAGAGAGAGAGGAGGGAGAGAGAGAGAGGAGGAGAGAGAGAGAGAGAGAGAGAGAGAGAGAGAGAGAGAGAGAGAGAGCGAGCGAGAGAGAGAGAGAGAGAGAGAGAGAGAGAGAGAGAGAGAGAGAGGGGGAGAGAGAGAGAGAGGGGAGAGAGCGAGAGAGAGAGAGAGAGAGAGAGAGAGAGAGAGAGGGAGGGTTTAACCTCCACTAGACACAAACTAGGTCATTTTGGGACTAACATATGGTTTAATTCTATTTCAATAATTTGCTTGCGTTTAGGGGTCTTTAGCAGTAGGAGGAAACCGGAGGACCCGGAGAAAACCCACGAGGTTGGACAGGCGACCCTACTCCTTGTCTCGTACTACCGATGAATCGAAACCATGCCAGTTGACTCAATGACAGACCTTATGATACAGCACGCACATGCTAACCATTCGGCCATCCAACCCCCTGAGCAGCTGTTGGATTTTTTCTAAATCATAGAATGATAATGGTAAGGTTTTAGATTTATTTCAATGTAGCAGAGGTTGGAACAAGTTGAGAGACCTCAAGTCTGAGTCCCGGGTCGCTGACTTTAGGACCGAGTTGATTCAAGTCCCAAGTCTTCACAAAGCCTGAGTCCTGTTTAAGTCGCAAGTTTATCAAATGAGCCAGCAATTCATGGTGGATAAGCTAAGTTAGAGTTATGCCCCTTAGCTGCATCTCCGGTCCTAACATCTTTCAAGTCGCAAGTCGTCACAACTGTCGGGTCAGTCATGCGACTTAAATCGGACTCAAAGGAAAACCTGAAAACATACTATAATGATTTTTATATTAAATACGGTATTTTTTATAAGTTAATATTTTTATACAGGTGACAGACAGTAAAAGCATACTGTGTTATATATCATGACAAGCATTACATTGTTATATAGCCAGTCCCCAATAATATAATTTATAACAAGATTTCAGTGTCCTTGATTCCATACATTGAGAGAGAGAGAGAGAGAGAGAGAGAGAGAGGGTTTAAGACACATGGTTCAGTTTTATTTCTATAATTCGCTTGCGCGT